ACAAGCGGTGTTTGTTTAAATTAACTAATGCCTAAGGGCTTATAATTATATATGATTATTTACAATGTAATAAATGGGAACCAGAAGACGTTTCAATTTGTTAAGGTGGCTTTATTATGAGGCTTTTAGTCAATTATGATTTACTTACTCTTATATGAGAAGAAAGTTAAATTAGAAGAATTTAAGTTCCAGAAGGCAAATTTATACCGGAATCGATCATAACTAAGTTTAAAATATTCACTATTTATTCATATTTTTATCAGTATTTTTATAGAAATTTTTTGCAACAAATCAAATTTAAAAAACTCACACTAAGCTAAAATGCATTAATTTTAATTCGGAAAGCGGCCCTATACTAGTTTTTATTAGGTTAATAAATCTGTATACTCTAAATAAATTTTAGAAATTGAATTTTTCATAAATTTTTGAAAATTCTAACGATTTTACCCCTTATAAAATGTAGAAAAATTTTAAAAATTTAGTTTTCTTCCAAAGATGGCTAGATCGATTCGCCTTTTAATGCTGATCAAGAATATATATATTTATAGGTTCGGAAATAACTCCTTATTGTTTTAAGCTTCTTACTAAAATTATAATAACTTGGAATATAATATAATACTGAAAATATAATGTTTTGGTTTTAAAATTGTACTAAAGCTTGAATGTTTTATACAAATTTCTGCTCTTTAAGATATTTAAATTGATAACTATTCTAATAATTTAATATGTTTTAGTAGTTCAGCATGATTTTTCTTGAAAGAGTCATCTTAAATATAAACATTATTACATTCTCTCCTAATGAATGCTCTTAAAATTAATATAAGCCACATTAATATAACTCACTCATCTAGATAATTACCTAAAATTGACATAATCACTCAGTCTTCTTGGCAAATATTCTCACAAAAAATTACCAAACTCATTTAACAAAATTTTCATGATTTTCCAACCTCAAGACATCTTGAATTCCCCTCCCCAAGGGTGAGTGTGCGTCTTTTTCTTGGTTTCACAAAAAAACACTGTGTGGGTGGGCAATACCTATATGGGTTGTATATATATATAGTATACTTTATAAATATACAAACCAAGAGCTGTCTGGCACTCGAAGCGACACTTTGTCTGCTGATAAAGTGCAACAATAACAAAACTAACAAAAAATAAACCCCGCCGAATGGCAAACAATGGTGACAAAGTGTGGCAAATAATTAGGTCTACAGGCAAGTCTATAGATATAGATACTATAGATACTACAGATACTATATATTATATATAGAGTAGTGTCTTTCAAGTCTCTGTAGTTTCTGAAGAAGATAAAGCCTCTCGTTGGCTGATAAGCAATCAATATAGCTAAGAAAAAATCTTGCAGAAAAGGTTGATGAACTCTCTACTAACCTATAATTCTATTCTTAAAAAATCCCATCTTTCTTTATAAAAATACCTTGCTATTTTTTATTTTTGTGGAAATACTTTGTTGACAGTTATAAACTAGTGGCGTAAATTTATGTTTCGTATAAAATTAAATTTAGTTTGATTGCCAGCACAATTTCTATTCAAAAAGTTCTTGGTGCACATTTCCGCATTTCGAAAGAATTGAGACAAATGGCAGACACTTGCAGGTCTCGAGGCTGTCGTCAGAGGATGGATTCACTTTTGCATTTGGCTGCAATCGAGTTTTGCGAATCAAACCGCGTCAATCACTCGATCTCAGCCATTTTTGCCACTCACAAATCGACCCGAAAGGCGAAAGCCTTTTTGGACCAATGCCAGGACAGAGAGAGGGAATGGCGCACATCTGTTTATTTTGATATTGCCTGAATGACTGACTGAATGACTCAGTGACTCAGTGACTGACTGACTGACTGACTGAGTGGCTATCCACCCCACAGAAACACCCACTGCCTCTGCCTAGTGTGTGTATTTTTAAACAATTTATATTTTCATTGCGTAAATAAAATTCTTTGCCAGATATACAGATGATGGCCGATGGCCGTTGTTTGTTGTTTATGCTCTTTGTCATTCTGGGATTGGGGAATAATAATAATAATTGAAATTAATTTATATACTTTGAGTGCAATTGCGATGACACATTTAAGGGCAATAGGAAACAGGGGTTTTTGTTTCTTAATTAAAATAGCATTTGATTACAGGTTAAAATGGGGAATTTTATTTAAAGAAAATCATATTAATTAAGTTCTTTAGGGTAGTGGTGCTATAGAAATATGTAAGGTAGAACTTTTTGAAAAATATTAGGTTTAAGGCTACCAGAAATATATATCTAGAGGAGCTTGATATTAAAGATTTATTAACAAGAGTGTTACACTAAAATGTATCTTAAAAGCATCTTAAAATTTGACACATCTTTATTTTAACTATTTATACCTTCGTACCAGCATCCGATAATTTGGATTTTTCTACTATAAAATATAAAATAAAATAGTAGTAAAAACATATTAAAAGATTACATTATTATTATAAACAAAACTTGATAAATGGTAATAAATACATTATAAATATAATTTAATCCAGGCTTCTTAATAATACCATTAATGAATTTCAAGCATTTTAATGAAAACTCTTTTGCAAGTTTCGATTAATTCTGATAATTAATTCGCTGATAATTTACTCTAGAATAAACAACATCTGTAACTCATTGATTTTTTTTCTTGCATCTAAACAGATTGTTCCTTCGCTTCGTTCTCATTTTCTTTTGTTTCCCTCCCTCCCTTCCTCCTCTTTTTTTCTTCTTAATTTAATTCAATTAATTTCAAGTCGCAATTACTCGACATTTGCATCAATTTCGCTGATTAGCTGACCCAGTTTCGCATTTATACATTAGCAATAGAAAAAATAAATAAATAACAAAGCACGGTCGTTGCCTAGCTTTAATGTTATCTATTTTTTTAGCTCTCCCAGAGAACCAGGGTCTGTTCTACATCTAACAACAAAATATTTAAAAAATAAAAAGAAAAGCAGCTATAGGGAGTACATATAGCACACACATATATAAAAAAATATTCCATGCTGGCAAAAGGCTGCCTGCTTATCAAAGGCTTATCAAAAGGTTTCACAAAAATTCCACAATCCCTACTCCCGCAACTCTGATAAACTGCGCATTTAAAAGTTGGTTGCCATGCTGTTCATTAAATACAAAACAAAACAAATACAAAATGGCTAAAAAGAAAAGCCATTTCCCAAGCTGCAATAGTGGAAATGCAAAAATACTTGAGCAACAAATTCCTCTCACGTGTCTGCCTAATTAAAAACATTTTTATTTATTTTTTTTAACTCTGACAAGTTTAGTTTTGTTACAGGTAGTATGTATTTGCCATGTGGTTTTCCTTTTTATTTGTTGTAAAATAGTTCCTCTGGTAAATAGTTTCCGAGTGCACAGAAAAGCATATAACATATTTCACAAATACGTTGCAAAAAAATAAAATAATAACATAAACAACTCCCTTTTGGTTTTTACTATATAAATTGTTTGCATTTCATTTGATTCCCAGATGAAAGAAAAATACGGGAAAATAACAGGAAAGTTCTGCCAGACTGATTCCGCAGTTGTACATTTTATTTTAATTAGCAAACAAAGGTACAAGGTGCAAAATAAAACAACAAAATAGTGCATATATTTATGCAGAGATTAATTAAATGTGCCACAAATTTTTGTGTCCACATTTGTTTATCTCCTGATGTGCGTAAACCAGAATACTATATGTAAAATAAAGCAAAGTGCTTTGTCCAAGTTATGGGGCATAAAAACCAAGGCAACCTCATTGAAATGCAACGCCGAGATCTGCTTAATCAACGGAAAAACTGCACTCGGAGAAAATAAGTGTAACAAATTCATAATGGGATCTATGAGTCAGAAGCTTGTAATCGTGAGAGAGTCATTTCTGACCCTATAAACATAGATATTCTTGATCAGCATCAACAGGCGAGTTGATCTGGCTTTGTTCGATAAACATTTATTTTTTTCAAAATTTTGAAAATTTTTTAAGGGGTAACGTCATTAAAATTTTCAAAAATTGATAAAAATATTAATTATTTTATATATTATGTTTAGTAAGCAGATTTTTTAATTTGATAAAAACTAATATATGGCCGCTTTCCGAAATAAAATTAATGAATTTTTGGCTTAGTTATGCGGTTTTTAAACTTTGATTTGTCGAAAAAATTTTAATGTAAAAATATTTCTAAATATCGAATATTTGAAACTTAGTTTTATCGATTTCCGTTTCGATCTTTTAATTTAATTACTAAACTGGATTTTTTGCTGGAACTACTTATCTTTATTAGCTTATAAAAGACACATGGCGTATACTTAATTTAAGGGTTTTCTCGTTAAGTATACGCCATGAATGACAAGAATCTCTTAAATCGAAGAATATTTTTATTATAATGTAAGTTAGAAGCTTAAAACAATGTAAAGAAGTCATTTCCGACCCTATAAATCATATATATTCTTGATCAGCATTAAAAGGCGAATCGATCTAGCCATCTTTGGAAGAAAGCAAAATTTGTCAATTTTTTTTTTAAATTTTATAAGGGGCTGTCACATTGTTAAAATTTTCAAAAATTGATAAAATTAGGAATTTTTAAAAATACTAAATTTAGTAAGCAGATTTATTAACCTGATAAAAACTAACATAGCACCGTTTACCAACTTAAAATTAATGCATTTTTTGCTTAGTTATGACTTTTTTAATCTTTGATTTGTAGCAAAAATTGTCATCTACAAATATTGAAAAATAACTATTCAAGGAATCAGAATATTTCAAGCTTAGTTATGATCAATTTTCGATTCGATCCTATAGCTTAATTGCAAACAGCAAGGGTAGTCTTAGTTTTCTTTTTGTTTTAATATAATATTTAAAGTGATATTACTGATAACTATCCCATATTTCTCCCTCTGGTCATTCTAATCGTCTCTTCTATATCTTGTACTATTTTATATACTCTTAATTTAAATTTTAAATGTATTAGGTGTTCTTTTTACTTACATCTTGAGAGATCTGTCCCATATCCGCGTAGTAATCAACAGCGTAGTACATGAGTCTGGCGGAGAGAGTATAGTGCGGGTTCCAAAAGTCGGAGTTGGGAATCGGATTAAGATTCAGATTTAGATTCAGATTCGGTATCTTAATCGGAATCGGAATCGGAATCGGAGGTCGCTGCAGCTGAGCTGCGATCAAAATAAAGAAATAACCAGTTTTTCGCTTGGCTCTGGCTTTTGTTTATGGAGACCACGAAAGTGGAGCAACAGCAGCAGCAGCTCGAAACTCGAAATGCACCAAAGGAGGCTCGTCCGCGGATCGTTTCGATGTGTGTATTATGTTTTTTTCCCCTCTTGTTTTTACCAAACCAGATTTTCTTTTTCTCTCTCAACTCGATTCGAGGCGAACTCTTGCTGGCTGCTGTTTCAGGGTCTCCCTTGTCTTGGTTTTCACTGCAACTGCAACTTAAAGTGAGTTTTTCTTATTCGAAAATCGTGTGTAGGATTCAGCCAAGTATCCGAGGTCTCGGATTATGATTCAAGCACTTGTACGTATAGCTATAGCTCTGGATTCTCAGTACGTTCTTCTCATCGGTAATGGCGATTCCCTGACTCGAGTGACTAAAGCAATTGCACTTGTTGCTGTTGATGTTGATCCTGTTTTTGGTTTTCATTTGTCGGTTTTTCCTACTTCAGAGTCGTAGTTTTTCTTCTTTCAGGATCTTCGGTGGTAACTGCGGAAGATAAATAAAGAAAAAGGTCATTAGCCAATGTGATCTTAATTAATTATCAATTCACAGCTTTATTAAGTAGCTTCCCACAGCAACAACTTGAATCCTCTTCTCAGCTTCAATTAGCATTCAAATGCCAGTCAAAATATTCAGCTTTCTTTTATTTGTATTTCCCTCTATGGATATATGTATACATATGCATATTTACACAAAAAAACGCGCAATGCCAAAAATACAAAACAAACATTAAGAGCAGCAAGCAAAACGCAGCGAAATATTGTTAAATAAACATGGCAAGGAAATGGAATTGGTGTAAAAAATAAAAACGAGTTTCTACTCCTCTTCCTGGGGCAAGGTGAGAGTGAAATCAAGAAATAATATTAATAATGGATTGGCAGAGAGATAAATGTGAAACCGAAATTAATATCAAGTGCAAACAGCAGATTTTTTGGCATGCAGACGTAAAGTGACAAACAAATAGCCATGGCAACCACCAGACGAGCCAAACTTAAAAGATGGCAACAAAAATACGGGGCAAAAAAGACGTGCTAAAAAACAGGCTAAAAAACAGGGTAAAGCCTGAAAAAAACCTGGGATGTCGATGGGTAGACATATCGAGTTACAAACCCCCCTTTTGGATAATCTTTTGCGGTTTTTTTTGGCCCCGCATTGAGGCAATCGAGACATCGAGTCATCAAAGCGAATTACTCGCACTCAGACTCGGGACTCGGACACCAAACGTGACTCTGACATGGAATAACAAACAAACAAATAAGATATACTATAAAAAACAAAGCAATTGTAACTTAAGCACTGGCCGCGCACTCAAATAACACAAACAGCGTTACAAAGTTTCCTTCTCTATTAATAATTTTTCATTATTGACAACGTCATGAGCATACTAAACGCTTCACCGATTCCCCAAAGTCACAGAAGCTCAACTCAGCTCGATTCAGTCTGGAGCAGCTGGGGCGGTATCGGTTGACAGATGTGGGTATGGAATATATACATATATACTATATTCGGATATTTGTCAACAAGACCATGTGCCAAGGTTTATTTAGCAGATTAGCAAAAATATTGAAACAAACTTTCAGACTAGTCCAGTCTATTCCAGTGTACTCCAGACTTACAATGCACAGAGGGAAAATTTGGGCTTCTCTACTAATATATGAATAATAGAGAAGCTAAGCTCAAGTAATTTTAAAATAGGTATTATATTAATATAGATATTAAATATAAGAAATATACTATTCATTTCTGGTACTAGAAATCAAGATAAACACATATACTTCTGATCATAGTTCAATAAATCGTCCGATTGTGCCTATATGTATAATACTTTCCTTGCATTCACTCTCTCAAAAAAGTGCCCTCCTCTGCGCTTCTCAACCAGTGTACTTAAGCACCATAGCAATCACAATTATTTTTGTTCTTCTTCTTGTTCCGTTTTAAAGTTTCTAGTTAAATTTGATATATATAGTCCACCGATTCGCCATGCTCCGACTTTACAGAAATGTGTTGTGTTACAAAAGTTGCAAGTCATTGTTTATCAGTGATCAAAGTTACTCACTATCATAGATACTTACTGCTCATAGTTACTCACTGCTCATAATTAATTACTGATCATACTTAATTACTGGTCATAGTTCTATAAATCGTCCGATTGTGCCTATATCAGCTATATATATCTATAATACTTTCCTCGCATTCACTCTCTTAAAAAAGTGCCCTCCTCTGCGCTTCTCAATCACTGTACTTAAGCACCTTAGCAAACACAATTATTTTGTTCTTCTTCTTGTTCCGTTTTAAAGTTTCTAGTTAAATTTGATATATAAATAGTCCACCGATTCGCCATGCTCCGACTTTACAGAAATGTGTTGTGTTACAAAAGTTGCAATTCATTGTTTATTAGTGTTCAAAGTTAGTAACTGATCATGCATACTTATTGATCATAGTTACTTACTGCTCATAGTTACTCACTGCTCATAATTAATTACTGATCATAGTTAAATACAGGTCATAGTTAATTACTGATAATAGTTCTATAAATCGTCCTATTGTTCTGATGTCAGCTATATATATGTATGTATATAGTCCACCGATTCACCATTCTCCGACTTATAAACCAGTAAAATTATATAGGACAATAACTCCATAGGTTCATTTAAAGTAAGTAAGTTATAGATAGAAAATCGTTTGCCTTAACTAAAAGTCAAAGTAATACTGACAAATAAAAGATGAAATCATATTTATAAACCTTTCCCAATTATATATCAAAGGTTACCTCTGTAACCTATTTATTTATTTTACTGTATAAAGACGTAATCTTTAACTCTAACTTAAAAAAATAAAATCAAGCTAAAGTCCTCCTACTTTATGTATATATTTTTCTTTCAATGTACCATCTGAGAGACCCGCTTGAGTGTCTTGTTTATCGCTGTCGCCGTACAAGCGTATTTAATTTATCCAACTCACACCACTCGAATTGTGAATTATACTATGGATGCTGGATGCTGGATGCTGTTGCTGTAAACGAACTCTGTCGCTCAGTGACATTGAACAGCTTTTGCTGCTGTTGATGTTGTTGGGGCGTTAACGAGACGCTGTTACTGCCGCCGCCGATGCCATGCGTATGAGCGTTATTATCACGTATACGCATGGTAAACATGGTAAACGTGGTAAACACGCTCCTCCGCCTCCGCCTCCGACTCCTCCTCAGGAGGAGCAGGGGGCCTCATCATGACTGACCACCACAAGTCGGTCTGTTTGCGTTGAAAATTAAATTCCAAATTGCAGCTACTGCAAGGATTCATAGCATTGGAATTAATTAGTTTTGCCAATGTGCAAAAGAACAAAAGCAGAAGCATGGCTCAGTCAAAACAAAAACTTGTTTAATATTCCGAAAAGTTCAAGCTTCCGCAACGGGGGAAAATGATTGTGCCAGGTATGAAAATTATTTTAAGGAAATACGGAGGTGTTTTAAGAGTTGAGAATTTGGTAAAGAAGATAGATTTTCTTCTCTAAAAAGGGGTTTTAATCACGGAAAAGGATGAAATGAAATGAATAAGTTAAGTCATTTAAATATTTCTTCATTAAACAATTCAAGAACTGTAGAAAACTCTATTTAAATACTTTCTACAAGTATCTGTATTTAGTTTCTCTGATTTTTTAATATATTCTCAGCTGTGCAGACACAATTCTGAACCCGAAATCCTGCACTTTCCATAGAAATCAAACTCACAATTATCACTTGAAAGCAACCACAAATTTAAATTCAATTTCCATTTCTATTTCAGCAATTTAATTTAATTTAAGAGAACCCTGAGAACTTTCGTCATCAGCCTGGGTGACAGTTCATCCCAAAAGCTGGTTTTGTACAATTCACAGCTGGAAATTGAAACTGCATCAAACGAACTGAAAATGAACTGAAATTCCCTGACGACATCATGGCGAGCCTTTGTGCCTTTGTTTTTCGTTTCGTCAGAGGTTTATTTATTTTTTTGTTCTTATCCGTCATCCGAGAGTCACACCTACCAAAACCATTGTGTAAGGCTTAAATGAAGTTCCTGATTAAATAAGCATTCATAACCAGAAACACAAGAACTTCATCCCGTGTTTTCTGCTATCAAATATCCCGAATAATTGAAATCATGATTACATTTTCCATGGCTGGAGGTATTTTGCAGATAAATATTGGATTACAGCAATATAGTTGCAGAAAATTAATTAACTTGGTGGGTCTGAAGGGTTGTAATATGTAACACAAGTATGTAGGTGATTTTCCCATCAGTTTGTATATTAGAAAATTAGTTTCCAAATCTAGATTTGGCGCGGTTTCCCTGCCTTCGTAGCCATGTGCAATATAAATTGCTGCCGGAACAGGTCGCCAATAGCCAAGAGGCTGGCGGCCCGCCGCATCCTTGAGCTGGAGGAAGAGGAGAGCAAAAGGCCCAAGGTGGTGATACCAACGCCTCAGAGTCTATTCTTCAACTTTGACACGGTGGAGGCCATGGCCAAGTACATCATAGGAGTTACCCACATCCGGCCAAAGTACGGTTTAATTAGTGGCAAATTCCTGGGCTCCATGATGTCTCTGGTTGAGCGTCCAGTGATCATTCCCCATGCGGATATACCCAACTTTCCGGAATCCCAGGAACCAAATGGCTCTTTCTTTGTGGTGGGCTTTGTGATGGGTGCACCCATTATAGCCATGTCCACCAGATGCCTCTTCTACGAGGGCCAGAGTCTGGCCAACTGTGCCCTGCCCGTCCAGGTGATGAGGCTTTGTGGAGTGAAAACCATCATTCTGAGCTGCATTGCCGCCTCGGTGAATCCCAATTACAAGATTGGTGACATTATGCTGATCAAGGATCACATCAACTTTGTGGGCATGATGGATCACACGGCCATGGAGGGTCCCATTGATCCGCGCTTTGGCAGACGTCACCTACGAATGGTTGGAGCCTACGATGAGGAGCTCCTGAATAAGAGTCTAGAGATTGCCGAGGAGCTGGGCATTGAGCAATCCCTGCGAAGTGGCATCTTTGGTTGCATTGGAGGTCCTCTCTATGGAACCGAGGCAGAGGAGCGTCTCTTGCGATCCCTGGGAGTGGATGCAATGGGCATGTCCTTGATTCCCGAGGTCATAGCCGCCCATCAAGGAGGCCTAAGGGTCTTCGCCTTTGTGATAATCACAGTGCCGGCTACTGCGAAACCCGAAGAGGACGATGCGGATGCAGATGTAGGAAGGCAGCCGAAGCGGAACAAAGAGGTCCTGGAGGTGCCGTGGCCAAAAGTGCAGGCCTGCCACGATCTGATCGCTCATCTCCTTTACTATATGCACAATGGCCATCCGATTTGAGTTCCAAATATAGATCATGCCTGACCTTTTTTTTCACATTTCGTTTTTGGTTTAATTTTGTGTGTGTTTATTTTGTGTTGTGTTGAGTGCTGCCAACACGGAAATAGCGACAGGTGCAGCTGTTGCCGCCAAATAATGTGGGAAACGAGGAAAGAGTTTTTCCACCCAGAGAGAATGAGGTGTTGGGTGTGTGCCTGGTGTCAAGCTGTCTAATGGACGACATTTGCCCAAATGGCCACCTATAAAGCTAAAGCAAAGTGCTAGCCACACGGGGCGTATACGTAATGTATACTATAATGTATCTAGATTCTGGTATTTTTGGGCATCATCTTTGAGATACATTTTATGGCAATTAGCATAGAATGAAACCCAAACTACTTTGTTTATCAAGGTGTAGGTGTTGCTACCAAGTAATTAATAGACTTGAAACACTTAAAATAAGTATCAGATCTATGGCACATATTTTCTCTAATATTTTGGAACTCTAAGAACTTTATATCTCTTTTTATTTAAGTGATTTTGTAATATCTTAAATGTTCAGAAATAAAATCATAATTTTTGTACATTTCAAGCTCATTTTGATCGGGAAAACTGAGCTCGTTTGGGCAAAAGCTTATCATTATTTTTGTAAGGGCAATTATAAAACTTGCTCTCTGTAGCTTACTTTTCTTCTTTGTTCGTCATTGTTGCTAATTTTATTATTTGCCATTGTTGCGGTTGCAGTAGCAGGCACGGGGCAGGCGATGACGAACGAGCGAGCGAACGAACGCTTATTGACGCTGATTGCTCAGATATAAGTGCATATATATTATATATATATTTTATTTTTTGTAGAGTCAACAACTTGGGGAGGAGCTGTGGGGTGTGGCGATAGCCACGAGCTGTTTGCTGTTTGCCTCGCGATTTTTACGTATGTATTTTTACGTTTGCCGCTTTTGCCTCTGTGCGATCATGCGGCTAGAAAGAGAGATTTTCCTAACGATTTCCACCGGATTTGCGGGATTTGTGTGGCATTACGCTAATGAGTTATTTGCCGGTCGGTTCAATGACCCAATGGTGCATGTGTTTATTGAAACGGCGTTGGAAAAACAGCAGCAATGCAACGAGCAACAACAGTTTTGCAAAATTTGCAACGAGTTCTGACTGCTGCAAATGCAAATGTATCTGCAAATGTATCTGTATCTATGTATCTATGCTGTGGGCCAGTTCAGTGCACTGGCTTTGCAATTTAATTTTAAATATCAAAAGCATTCGGGGCATTTGTGCGTGAATATCAACGTGCCAACGAAGGCAGTGCCAAAGCAGCTGATTCGCAGATGCATATTTGCGTAAATGCACACAGATACAAAGATACAGATATACTAGATATATGTATCTATATCTAGGCAGTGCATAGTTTTTGGCATTTCAATTGACGCTGCAAACATCTGCCCGTTGGCTCTATTTTGTTTTTTTGGCAATTGATTCGTCAACAGAGGGATCAGATATGCGGCTGATGCAATTTAAATGGCAACCAGATGCCGGCCATTCAATGAGAAATGCGTCCAATGCCCAATCAACGGCCACAACCGCAAATTAAAGCTAATTTTATAGCAATGAGAAGAGGTGCCGGTAAAATGTACGAAAATTAAAGCACATTTTCACACACAGAGATACACACACTCAATTTCCATATCCCTCTATAATTACTTATTTAAGCCACCTGGTTTAATTATGATGTGGCAACACAATATTGTATAAATCTGAATAAAAAGTTAAGTCAATTTACACCATTTTTGGTGGGATTACAATTTTTGCATTAATTAGTAGACAATACCAATCATTAAATCAGTCTTTTTCAGCAGAATATTATTTTACATTCTGCTGTCCCTTAATTATATATAGAAATTACACAATTAATGGGCTGTTGCCAAGCGGGCAAGCGTAATCTTTGTATCACCATAATCATTATTAAAAGATTAGATTTGTTTTATATATTTTTATTAACAAGTCTTAGATTGTTGCCATCGAATTGTAAACTCTCTTTTGGAAATCCCAGTAATGTTAATAAATTAATAAAATTTACTGAGAGAGCTTAGGGTCATGAAGCATTTATAATCTTGTTGTTGAAATAGTTGCTGTACTTCTTCGTTTGATAATTAATATAAATATAAGGGAGTCTGGGAAACCATTTCCCCTGAAGAAGCCAGACCACCTTTTAATTAAATTTTCATTTTGGTTGTGATAACTGTGAACTGTAGAACAAAAAAGCTAATAATATACCCTTTGGTATATGGAAATTACTCGGTGTGTCTGTGTGTGTGTGTGTATGGGTTTCTGTGACTACTTGTAATAAAGAAAAGCAGAAAATTGCACAAAATAAACGGCAAACTGACTAAGACAGACTTTTATACTGCACTTTGTTTTGTTTGCTGCTAGTTGCCGCTGCTGAAAGTTCAATAACCCCATTTTGCGCCCATAGAAGTGACTGCGGGAATAGTTTGTAAAAAATAAGCAGTGAAAAGCTAAAACTAAAGACAATATTCTAGAATAATCTAGATTTATAGTACATTTTAGTGATATTTTAATTTGAATAAAATTTGAGGAGTTAATTAAAACAAAAGCATAAATAAAAAGCATAGGTTTATATACAACTAAGCTTCAAATATTAGTTTTCTTTCAATTAATATTCATTCAATTTATATATGCCAATTTTTTACACCTTCATAAATAATTTGCTTTATTAATATAATTTTAAACAAATTTCACACAATTATGAATTTATTAGAGATCAAAATTTGCCATAAAAATAACTAAAATTCATATATTTCATACTCTTTTTCTCATTGATTATTCCCCTAGATTGCTTTCAGTGTTCCTGTTGTTGCAACCAATTGTTAAATAATTAATTAATGATGCACTCTGTCAGAGTGATGTACCTGCTGCATTAATGTACATATATTTTATATGTTATGAGGAAAACAAAAGGACGATTTGAGGAGAAGGATTCTTGTAACCGTTTCTGTTGCCTGTGTGTGTTCCGTTGAAAGCCGCTTAAAATTGATTGAAGCTCTGAATGAAAGCACACACACTCAGACACACAATTGCCCCCTCTTCAAGCGGTTCAAGTGATTTCCCATCATACACATACAGACACACACACACACACTTAGGGGACACACACTCCGGCACAACAATCTTAATGCGCCCCGGCAACAGCAACAGTTGTGTTCCGCTGCAACGTGTGTGAGTATAAATATATATAAATATATATATATATATATATATATAGTATAGTATAGTATAGTATATATACCTCTGTGTGTGTGTGTGAAAGCGTTCGCATGGCAACCGTTTATCATAATTGGCATTAACTGCCAGCCAGCCATTCCTCAATTATATTCGGCCCGAAGCATTACGTATACGCCATGATGGTACGAAAAAAAAACAAGAAAACCAAACAAGCTGAAATGTACTTCCGAGCATGGTTTTAATTTACAATTTCAGAGCCCATTTTTTCTTTATTTTCTTACATGCAAGCCGCGGTAATTTCATCAGATTTCATTAAGCCAACATAAATACCTGTTCAGGCTTAATAAATGATATGTATTCGTATATGCAATTGCAATTGCATTCTGTTCTTAGGGATTTTAATGAAAGACATACAATATGTTGTTGTATTAATTATCAGTTGCTGATAACGATTACTTAAATTTAAGATGCCAAGCGAAGCGTTGGAGAAACTGAAACTGAAACTGAAACTGAAACAGAAACACAATGACGAAACAGACGAGAACAAATCGGTGGCGGGGGAATAATGAAAATGGCAAACAAACAAAATGAATGCTTTCAGCATTAACAACAAAAAATAAAACCCAAAAACTGCTGACAAGCAACAGAGGGGGGAAAGAGAGGGCGAAACGCTCACAAAACATGCTGCCTGCTGCTGCTGCTGCTGCTTAATTTAGATTCCCGTGCGGTAGGTCAAGTGCCAATTTCCTCAACTCGAAATTGTGTGGCAAAGGCAAATCAAATGCTGTAAGAATTGAATGCGAAAACCCCTTGACCGGTCATCTGTCTATAACTCTTTCCATTTCTGATTTTTGATTTTATTTTCCTGCTTTTCTTTTGCCAAAAAATATTCTCTGAGTGTGTGTGTGTGTGTGTGTTTCTTTTCCGCCCTGCGGCTGTCGAACTTCGGAAAACCTGTTGCTGAACATGACAGGCTCCAGTCAATCCGATTTGCAGATACTGGCCCTGGCTTCTCGTCCTGGGCTTATCCTTGGCAAGGACTGAAAAATCAGACCGCAAAAACTTCACTTACAAGATCTGTGGGAGATTTGCGGGGGGAGGGCAATAGGACGAGGCTCAGAAAGTAATGCCGAAAAATAGAAACGGAATCGGAAAGTAAGCTACGGAATCAAATGTGAAAGTCTTGCACAGGAAGAAATAAATCATTTTCAAGGACACTATTCAATTTAGTGTTTGTAAATAGAAAATTATGATTAGTAATACATTTTTCGTATTCTTTTTAATTGTTATGTATTTCTAATTATTATTATTATTAAATAAATAACTAAAACTCAAAAAGTAAGAAGTGATTTAATTGAAGTTTGACTATTTTAGATTAGAAAAATCATAGCATACTTTACAACGCAACCCGTAGAAACTTATATTTTAAAAGAAATTGCTTGGATTTGTTGTTAAAATACCTTATATTTTTGCTGAGACTATTTATAGAGAAGTATTATTTGTTTATTTTCTCTGAGTGGTTAATATTTTTCCCCACATTTTCCTTTTTCTTTTTTTTTTTGTACTCCTGGTCAAGCTGTGTGCAGCATTTCCCTTTTGACCCTAAAGCCTCTTATTGGCCATCCCTACTCTTTGAATCCATTTGCATTCGAATATATGGGGTCGCCCTCGCCATGGGGCGTCTGTAAAAGCTTTTGACAACGGCCAGGATATGACCACTGAAACGTTACACATATGAATGTGGAGAGGAGGGAATACGGATTTAAAATAAATTTTCATATTTCACATTTTTGGTAATATTTTGTTAGACGCAAAACGAATGAAATATGTTTGTATTTACATGGATAGGAATTGATTTGAAATTTTATATTTGCCAGTATTTATATAAATAGCTTCGGAAAGCTGAAGTTTATATATCCTGGCAGGTTGCAATTTAATTATATAATCGAATCGGAAATCAATTATAACTGTGATTAAAATATAACAATTTTTTAACAAATCAAAGTTCAAAAACCACATAACTTTGCCAAAAAAGCATTAATTTTCATTCTGAAAGCTATTCTATGCTAGTTTTTAATAATTCATTAAATGTGCATACTTAAATAAAAATTGTAGAAAATTAAAATTTTTGCCCAATATTTTGACAATTTTAACGATTATAAGATTTTGAAAATTTTGAAAAAATTAAAATTTGACCGGACATAGTTAGATCGACTCGTCTTTTAATGCTGATCAAGAATATATATGATTTATGGGGTCGGAAATCATTCCTTCAATGATTTTCTGAACTGAACTTCTAACTCAAATTATAATACCCTGATAGGGTATAAAAACAGTAATATTTTTTAAATTTCATTTCCATTTTTAAATTGAATATTATTTCATTGGATTTCATTTATTTGGGATGCATTTATTTATCAAGACAATTTTTCTCTCAATGTAAGCTCATATTTTTAATAAAGTATCTTGTGCATAACCGGAAGGAAAACAAACTTCAACAGATGTACTACATATTTTATATTCAAAAGGTAATAATACTCACCCTTTTGGTTTTCGGACTAAAACAGTTCTCTGCATTTATTAAAAAGCGTAATTGTAATCTCTTTCAATATCGGTTCATTTGGTTGAAGCGAGATGGCGATAGAGAGCACACACACCGTTACTTTTGCTTTTTGTGTTTGTCTTTCGAATCGCTGATTATAGCAAGTTCTTTCTTCACTCTCCTTTACACTCTCTTTTTCCTGATAACACACACGAAAATACACTCTGTCGGGGGATACGGTAACTAATTGCAGTCTGTAATAAAGCACGAACAACAACTGTGAAGGAGAAATTGTGTTTTTGAATTTGTGTTTTCGTTTTGATCAAAAGCAAAGGAGAAGAGCGCACTCGAAAGAGCGTTTTCGAAATAACGGAAACTGAACGGATGTTCGGGATGTGTTGCGCGGGTGTGAAGTGACACGGGTTTTTGCTTGATTTCATAAAAATTATTCTTAGTCTCGCTTTTGATATACGCTCTTCTCCCCAATAATTATGCAAGTCGAAGAAAATAGACCGAAAAATTTAGACAAAAAATCGATTGCATTTGGCGCGTAAAAAAAACGAAAAAATAAAGAAAAAGCGAGACACAACAGCGCTAACAGCGAGCGGCGATAACAATAATAGTTTATATTTAAATTTGAGCAGCCAGCATCGTTTAATTTGTTTACGCGGCGGCTCGAGTTCGTTGTTATTCGTCTATGAGGCCAATCTAATTTATGCTCTTGTTGTTGTTTCGCTTTTTTTCTGTGTTTACTGTGTTATTCGGATTGGGTTGCTTTTTGGTTTTTTTCTGTGTTTTGTTTCTTTTTGCCAGTTGCTTTTGCCCGGCACACTGAACAAGAAATTTCTGTAGTAATTTTCCATGCAATAACAATGATTTTTGCTTTTTTTCGGCTATTTTTTGGCGCTCTTTTTAGTATTATTTGTTTTTTGCTTTTTGTTTTTGGCGCTATCTTCGACTGCATTTGTTGTTAACTTAAACTTAAAGCCGAACAAGTTACCACAACGAATCGAAGTGAACGAGAACGAGAAAACGTAAACGTAAACGAAACCGAAACGAAAAGAACTAAAAAGTTTAACGAAATAAAAACGGTTATCCGATGTTTTCGATGTGTTTCTGATTTCCCGCGATCTTCTGCTACGAGAAAGAGTGGGCGCCCAGTGGAGAGGGGGCGGCGGCTGTTTGTTTATTGGCGTGTGCGTGCGTTCGTGCGCTTTCGCTCTGACGGCGCCCGCGTGAAGAACCCGAAAGCGGCCAGCTACAAACTTTAACTAAAGCGGCAATGGGCAATGGCAACCGAAATCTACTGCTGGGCTGCTGCTGCTGCTGCTGCCGTTGCCTGCTGTCGCTGCCTGCTCCCCAGCTGTATCGCGGCCAACAACAACAGCTGACGACAGCAGCAGCAGCAGCAGCAGCCGAGGAGCACTCGGCACACGAACACACTTGCAGTAAGCTCATTACGAGCCCGCCCGATAGCCAGACAGAGAGAGAGAGAGAGAGAGAGGGAGCCCACGAGTGTGGGGGAGGGAATGTGTGAGAGAAAGAAAGAGAGAGAGCAGGCTCGACAGCAACAGGCAGGCTGGCAGACAGTTCCAGCTGGTGTGAGAGGGGGCGGGGTAGGCGCATGAGAAACGAAAGCTTGGAGTGTTTGTTGCTGCTGATTTTGTTGTTGTTGCCCCAACTTTGTTGCTGTCGCCCTGCATTCAATATGCCCTACCTTTGTACGAAGAGCTTATGAGTTTTTATTTACAAAGAAATGGAAAAAATAATAAAATATCACTCATACGCCGTGAGGTCCCTTTGGGCGCCTTGATGTATGCTAAGACATTTTTATTATGGTTTAGTATAATTTGTTCTTGTTTTTTGTGACGAAAAATTACAATTTCTGTTAATATAACTACAGTGCGAAAATTATTTACAATAATCCAATATGATGATATACCTTGATTGCATAAAGTATTTAATAGCATACTTTGCAGCGTTTAAACAAGAAGATTTTACGTTTTGTGGATTCTGTCAATACTAGACAATAAACATTTTAATTAAAATAACATGTAATCAAATTTAATATCATTTGATTAACATTTCGTAATACCTGTTTTCATATTATATTTTCATGAAATAAACTCTTAAATATTTGTATTAATGGCGTACCGTATACAATAGCAGAGTATTTTATATGTCTTATAAGCTCAACTATAATGTACAGTTGTTTTTCTGTGTTTGCCCTCTCTTTTATTCATATTTTATTTTTTTTTTATTTTGTGTCCAGCGTATGTGAGGAGCACATGTAAAAGACAAAAACAACAACGAGCGATTTGACAACGAAGCGACAACAACGACGCTTCATATGATTGAACTCTTAAATGACTGAGGCCTATAAAAGCAGTGTGCTTGTGTGGTGCTTTGTTGGTGTGTGTGCCTGTTGATGCGAGAGTAGATGCAAATGTGTACCGACGCCGCGCCGTCCCCTGTTCAATTTTCAACACTTTTTGGTCTCCCTCGCACTTCCACTCTTGCTCCTCCTCCTCCTCCTCTTCCTCCGCCTCTCTTTTGGAGGCGTTGGGGCCTAACAAAGAGTCAATAGACATCGTCTCTCAAAGTGCAAAACGGAGCGTAAAGGCCCACAGTTGGAATTCTTTAATTAAAGCTCAGATTTCTTTCAAGGATTTTTGAATTTTGTAAAGTTTGAAATTTTCTAGTTCGAGAATCTAAGGTAAATAAATTAAATATGTTATACTATTCCATATTTTTTAAAATACTCTGAAATCCTGGTCATTTCCGAAGCATTCCATAATTAATATAAGAGTTATTTCTGTAAAATAAGTTTTAGAAAAATGAGAAATATCAACAGTTTCATCTGTTATTTTGTCCCTTTCGAGATATAAGATATTTTAAGAATCTCCACTGTACCTCAAGCCCGACAAACAGAAGATTTCATAGAGGGAATGGCCCCAGCTTTGTTTACTCTACCAGAGACATTTTCCGGAGCGACCCTCGCCCCGCTCCTAGAGCATCAAGTTATTCATGCACATTGCAATAAGCGGCGGCGATAAATAAAATGCCCGTCCCCATTTTTATGGCTAAATCGTGAGACAATAAAATGCAAAGGCTGTGAATACGAATGGGAAATGAAATTAATAAGCAGCCGCCCCGAGTGCAAAGTACTGTTCGCAAACTATTATAGGCCGAATGCTGCGAGATTTGCATTGAACTACAATAAAAACAATGGAAATGCGAGCTTATCAGCAATGGGAGCAACAGCAGCAGCGACGGCCTGATAACACGGCACCGATACTGAAGTACAGCTGTGTGCGTGCCTCTGCCTGCTGATTATTATTATTATTGATTAATAAACAATTTTCTCACTCACACTGGGATGAGTACATGTACATATAATACGTGTGTACATACTTACAATAGCTAAAAGCTAGAGGCTGTTGGGACCTACGAAAGGCGACCGATAAGAAATGACCGATTTAGTTTCACAGTTCAGAGAGCAATAACTGGAAACGGACGGACGGACGGACGGACGGACGGACGGATCGGACTCGATTGACCCACAAACTTGAGACGACAAACATTAACAGGCAGAAGTTTTACTTTAGTCAACATATATTTCACAAAAAAACGCAAGTGATAACTTGCATGACTTTGCCAAATTATATGAAACTATAAAAATTCAAATCTTTTAGCTAGTTATCGCAAAACTAAGCTTTATATGTTAAGAGAATATTTAAATTAATATATATAACAAATAGATTAAAGAATGGAAACCACAAATTTAATGAATTTTAATAGCTTGCTGTAATTTATTGAATGATCGAGCTCTTCAAGCAAACAATGTTTAAGTGCATTACAATTTCAGTCAGAAGCTTAAAAAGTAGTGAATGAGTCATTTCCGACCCCATATATCATATATATTCTTGATCAGCATAAAAATCCGAGTCGATCAAGCTTTGTCCGGCCGAAATCTATTTTTTTTTTAATTTTTGAAAATATTATAAGTTGTTACATCGTTAAAATTGTCAAAAATTGACAAAATATTGAATTTTTAAAATTGTAAGCTGAGTATGCAGATTTATTAACCTAATAAAAACTAACATTGTAACGCTTTCCGAATTGAAATTAATGCATTTTAGCTTAGTTCTGCAATTTTTAAACTTTGATTTGTTGAAAAATTGTCATATAAAATATAGACAATATCGGCTCAAAGAATGGTATTATAATTTCAGCCAGAAGGTTGTAACTTGTGAAGGAGTCATTTCCGACCCATAACATATATCATACATATTCTTGATCAGCATTAAAAGGCGAGTAGATCTAGCTATATTTTAAGGAAAAATAATTTGCAAAATTTTTATTTATTATTTTTGTCAAAATTTTATAAGGTTCTACATCGTTAATATTGTCAAAATTTGTCAAAATTTAAAGTTGAATTTGAGTATGCAGATTTATTAACCTAATAAAATCAAACAAGGAAAAGCTTTCGGAATTAAAATTAATATATTTTTGATGTAGTTATAAGAAATTTTAAATTGAAGGGTATATAAATATCGGCTTCGCGAAGTTAACTTAATTTCTTCTACCATTTAAATTGCATTTACAATTTCTGATTAAATTCCATAAATTCTTCAAACAAAAATCCTTCACTTGGGCTCTTAAACATTTGGTTTAAAATGTTTTCTTTTTGTTTTAGCAAATTTAAATGAATGTTTAAGTAATGAAATGCAACACAATGGCAGCATAAATTACATATTAATAATCCTCCAGCATGTTAATTATGCTTATTAGATTTTGTTTCAATGCAGTAAATGTAAATTAAATCAGTTGCTAGCACTTTCCCAGCCCACAAACTGTAAAATAAGCTATTAGGAAAATTATTCATGTTTACAGGCAACACATGATGATGATTTACAATTTATAATAGAACTTGGAATGCAATTCCATTGTCCGCATAACCTTTTTTTTTAGCCATTTGTTGCTGTTGAGCCTTGGGGTGAATTAAAACATAACATAACTCAGGACTAGTAATTAATTAGTTTGCATTTCAGTGAATAGAAGGAATGTATATTTAAATTTTTTTTACAGAGAAATATGTGTTTGTTTTAAATCAATTAAAATGGCGTACTACGATATATTTAAACTTAAAATAGAAAAAAACCGTTTACAATGATTTAGGTATCAAAAATAATCTATAGTGTTTATTTCATACCAAAATTGGCCAAAAATGGCCATTTAAATAGCCCTTCGGGCAGAGTGCAAACATATCATATGTACATGATGTAATTAGCTGCATTCCAGTGAATTGAATGCTCCCCCTATTTGTGCCAAATCCCCACGAGCTAGGAGCCAGCTAGTAGAAGGTGGTAATGCGCAACAGGCAAGAAACCAATCAGCCCGCGGCCAATTTGCGATCCAGATTAACGGCCATCGATGACGGCTAACGACGTTGCGGACAGATACAGGTGGTGGTCGTGGTTGCGGGGAGTGGGGGTGGTGGTGGGGGCGGTGCGCCTAAGTTGCTAAGGGCAAACCATCGTGTAACACGAGACCAGGTGAAGGGGTCGCCTTTACCGACCGGTGAGCTCATGCATGCAAACGCCAATGCGACCACCACCACCCTCTCCCTCTCCCCCCTGCGTTTATCCGGTTACAAGTGATGTAGAGTCGGAGAGACGACCGCTTTTAACCCCACTTCGCATTTCCCCTTACACCTGCCAGGATATCCATTCAAGGCAATTAAATGCCAACCTACGGATGTAAATGTTTCCCTGATTTTTCCGACCCTGTTGCTTGTTCTCTCTCTCTCTCTGTCTCTTTATCGTCCTTGTCGTGATTCATTAATTGTGTCCACTGCAGCGTGTTTGCACAACAAAAAAGTTTCAGCCATGGCATGTCATGTGTTGCTCCTGCGCCTGATCCTTTCCCGGCATTTACCCGGACAGCCTGAAACTGAGGGACTGAAAGGCACACCAATTATCTGAACAGGTCGAAGCTGAAAGAAACAAAACGATTCACAGATATTTAGCCTGCGGGCCAGGACAACTTTTACTGTGCAATTCGGTTTCAATAAACTATTTTTCATTTCGGCGTCGATATATGTATAATATTTTTATTTGTGAGAACCAAATACCAGAATTGTTATTGATTTCAACAGAATAGCTGGATTTTATAGAAAAATATTTTTAAGGGAATTTTTCAAGAGCTTATGTCAAGATACTAATAAAAATTACAATATGTTTTTTAAACCGCGGGAAAACTCTTTTTCTTTTTTCCAAAAATATATTTTTAAGCTTTGATGAGAACAAAATGTATTTAAAACCTTAGTTTGATATTTACTAATTCCCTAATGGACGCTATTCAATATCATTTTAGCTCTCATAGAAATAATATGGATGATTTGCAAACTAGGAACAAATGTTAGTGGGTTGAACATTTACATAATTTTTAATAAAATTAAGAGCTTAATCAATAGTAAAATAAAGTTTTACAGGGATAGTAACTCTTTGGCAGGTCTTAAATTTCGTTATTTCCATGCTGGAAAATTATTAAATTGTACTCCAACATGATGTAACCTTTAATTTTTATATAAATAATATAATTCGCTTTTATCAGACTTTTATTATTCCCTTTTTCTCAGCTTATTAGTTATTAAATTTTTTCCAGCAGTATTTATCCTGAAAATGTTATTTAAATAAAAAGCGGAAGTGGTGGCGCCATGCCGTTGCTTCCTGTCGTGCTCGTTTTTTGAACTACCCGCTTAAGCACAGGCCCGTCTATCGATAGCATTTCCAATTGGATGAAATTCGAATGCCTATCGATAGATGGCGCAACAGCTGATTGTTCGCGTGGATTTTATTTGCATTTAATTTCGGTTCAATTTCGCCGGTTTATCACATAAAAATGGCCCCGCCAAAGGCCAATAGCCACCGGGCGGCAGTGCGACGCAAGAAGTCCGTAAGCTTCTTGCAATCCCTGCAGGATAAGTACCTGAATGTGCGGTTTTTCAAGTACCTGCTGCTGGAGCCGGCCGCCGTGCCCCTTGTTGCCATATTTATCCTGCTGGCGGAGACTGTTATCAACCTGGTGGTGATCCAGCGTGTGCCCTACACGGAGATCGACTGGGTGGCCTATATGCAGGAGTGTGAGGGTTTCCTCAACGGCACCACCAACTACGCGCTGCTCCGGGGTAAGTGTTCTCCCATTTCTATTTTTGGATGCTATCGGGTGACCCAAATAATGGGATTCCTATATATTCCTGCACCTGCTTTGGTTTATCTTTAGATATTGTATTTATCTTAACAAATTATGAAAACCTTCGAAGAGGTCTGATAACATTTAAAGGGATATAAAAATCAAAGCTTAATCGTTACTTTCTAAACAAAATAGAAATTACAATTCAGTTTTCGTTACAATCCAAACACATTCCCTTCTTTTTTTTGTCTTGCCTCGAACGACGGTCAATTTGGTATTTATTCACATTTCCATCCTTCGCTCTTGCAACTCTTCCAACTCGTATTTGGAATACATCAATCACTTGGTCGGTTCTCGCCCCGAACTTAGATTAAGCCTTAGCAACAATAACGTGCGTAACTTAGACACTAAAAAACAGAATCAATAGGCCACCAAGTTGAGGGAACTAGGGGTTAGTTGAACATGGATTTGATTTTGTTTAGGAAGCCTCCGCCTCCGCTGTCGCCTTGTCCGGATCCGCTGGCATCTTTCGTTTTGGCTTCCTCTTGGCCCGGCTGCTGCTGGTGGTCTTTGTCTGCTGCTGATGCTTTTGAGCCTTTATCGGTGCTGGAGCTGGATCCTGATCCTTCTCCTTTTCCTGCTGAGCTGGCTGCTCCTCCTTCACTCGCACCTGCGCTGCAAAGAGAGGATAGGGGGATGGAAAAGAAAAAAATACATTTATTTAATCACTTTTATTCGCACATAAAACGCACGCATGTATATATTTTGTAAACTAGAAAGTCAAGCACCAAGGAACATTTTAAGATTGCATTGGTAGCTCGGGAGTTATTTACGTTGCTTTCTTACTGCCATCATTGCGCCGCGCAATCCCGTGTATCTGTCCCGGCGTGTCCTCTTCCAGCTCGGCGTACGCCTCGATCAGAGCCCGTCGCTTCTCGTCCAGTTTTCTGCTATCAGGCACCGCGATCTTGATGTGCACATAGTGATCTCCATGACCGTGGGCATTCACCCGCTTCAGTCCCTTGCCGCGAAGCATGATCTTGTGATGTGACGACGTGCCCGGCTCCACATTGATCCACTGATCCTCGTAGACTCCTTGAACTCGCACAGTGCCTCCTAGCACCGATTGGGCTAGGGAGATGGCCACATCTGTATGTACATCAGCGCCATCGCGTCGGAAATAGTCACTCGTTTGCACGCGGAAGGTGACGAAGAGCTCTTTGCTGCCCACCTGCATGCGCACCGTCTGTCCGTTCTCAATGCCAGCGGGCACCGGAACGGTGACCTTTCTTCGCTGCACGGTGCGACCCTTGCCCTCGCATTCACTGCAGGGATACTTGATGTGCTGGCGGGTTCCCTGGCAGTAGCGGCAGGTGGAGCGCATGACGAAGGGGCCCGTGGAGATGGTCTCATAGCCGGTGCCGTTGCAGTATTGGCAGCGTCCCGGCTTGGTACCCGGTTCGCACTTGGAGCCTGCGCACTTGGGGCACTGGTCCACCACGTTCACGTTGACATCCTTGTTGACGCCTCGAGCGGCCTGGGCAAAGGTCAAGTCCATCACCATCTCCTGCGCCTGGCCAAAGCCGAACTTGGAGTCCGCAAAGTCATCAAAGCTGTTGGAACGAAAGTTTCCCTCGCCGAAGATCTTGCGGAAGAGTTCCTCTGGATCGATGCTCGAACGGAACTGCCAGCTCTGCGAGAAGCCCTCGGGGCCACCGCCGCCGGGGAATCCGCCTCCAGGGAAGCCGCCGCCCTGCCGGCCCATGTTCTCTGCCGTCTGGCCATAGGTGTCATACTCGCGTCGCTTCTGATCGTCACTCAGCACCTCGTAGGCTTCCGAGACCTCCTGGAACTTGCGACCGGCGTCCGGGTCGTCCTTGTTCGTGTCCGGATGGTATTTCTTAGCCAGCTGATAGTAGGCCTTCTTGATGTCCTTCCCGTTGGCGTTCTTGGCCACGCCCAGCGTCTGGTAATAGTCCTTGGCCTGCGCCTGCCGCGAAGTGTGGAAGCTCCGAACGAGGTTGTGTTCCTGTGCCTGCTTCTGAGGCAGCGGAGGCGGTCGCCAGGCACTGGATATGCTCCGGTAGGCTGGCGCGGCGGAGGAGCACGCGGTGGCGGCCAGTGCCGACGGCAGTTGCCGAAACACGAATAAATTTTTACACGAAATCATCTTATTTCACAAATGTATCAGTTTTTCAGCTAACATGCCGTAATAGCCTCCATGCTGCCCTACGTGTGTTCTCTCTCGCTCGCACACTAGAGCTCCACAAATCATCGATGTCACTATCGATAGTATCGATGGCGTTTTTGAAAAAGGCGATACGTCCATGCGAAATTTAAAATTCAGTTTTGGGGAAAGGCTGTCTGTGGTTAAACTTAAAAAAAAAAAACTTTTCATAAATATTTTATTTTTTTTTTAAATATGAATTTCAAACATTATATTCTCCTACCTTTGCAAGGTATTACACAGTGAAGAAGGCATTTCCGACCCTATAAATTATATATATTCTTGATCAGCATTAACAGCAGAAGATCTAGCAATGTTTTACAGAAAAATAAATTTTAAATATTTTTCAAAATTTAATAAGGGGTTACATCGTTAAAATGATCAAAAAGAGTCCAAAATTTGGATTTTTAAAATTTTAAATGGAGTATGCAGATTTATTAATCTAATAAAAACTAACTTACAAGTGCTTTCCGAATTGAAATTAATGCTTTTTGACTTAGTTATGACCTTTTTAAATATTGATTTTTGATCAAAAACTAAAGCTTGCAACTATTAAGTAATCCACTATTTCAGGTGACACTGGACCTCTGGTTTACCCCGCTGCTTTCGTGTATATCTACTCGGCTTTGTACTACCTCACCTCCCATGGAGCTAATGTCCGACTGGCTCAGTACATCTTCGCTGGGATCTACCTCCTGCAGCTGGCACTGGTGCTGCGTCTCTACTCCAAGAGCCGAAAGGTGCCACCGTACGTGCTGGTCCTAAGTGCCTTTACCTCTTACCGCATCCACTCGATCTATGTTCTGCGACTATTCAACGATCCTGTGGCTGTCGTCTTGTTTTACGCCTCCCTCAATCTATTCATGGATCGACGATGGACCTTTGGTAGCGTCTTCTTCAGCCTGGCGGTGGGTGTGAAGATGAACATATTGCTGTTTGCTCCTGCTCTCTTCCTGTTTTATTTGGCCAACTTGGGGCTGTTGAAGACGCTCCTACAGTTGGTCATCTGTGGAAGCGTACAGCTTCTCCTAGGCGCTCCTTTCCTACTCACTCATCCGTTGGAATATCTAAGAGGCAGCTTCGATTTGGGACGCATCTTTGAGCACAAGTGGACGGTGAACTATAGGTTTTTAACCAAGGAGCTCTTCGAAAACCGTACCTTCCACCTGTCCCTGTTGGGGCTGCATTTACTACTCCTCCTCGTGTTTGCCAAGCCCACCTGGACCTTCTTCCAGAGCTATGTGCGCCTGCGTCGCGTTGAGGATCAGCTGCAGCCGCAAATAGCCAATAAAAATCGCGAGGTGAAGACCCAAAAGAAGCTGAAGAAGGCCGAAAAGGACAAGGATCAAGAGAAGCTCACCATTGAGCAGCAGGCCTTCCTGAAGTCCTTCGAGAAGACCCTTCAGAAATCAGCTGGAGCAAAGGCTTCTCCAGCTCCGCCTGCCTCACAGTCGGAACCGGAACGCTATGGCATCCACTTCGATCGCTGCACTCAGCTGGCCCTGCTGCCCTTCTTCCTGAGTAATCTAATAGGCGTGGCCTGCGCTCGATCCCTGCACTATCAGTTCTATGTCTGGTACTTCCACTCCCTGCCGTACTTGGCCTGGTCTACGCCCTACTCCCTGGGCGTGCGTTGCCTCATCCTCGGCCTCATCGAGTACTGCTGGAACACCTATCCGAGCACGAACTTCTCCAGTGCCGCCCTGCATGTCAGTCACATCCTCCTGCTGGGGGGCATAGCTAAGCAACTGTTCCAAACCATGCGATTAAATAATGCCATCAAGAAGGATCAGCAGCAGCAGAAGAAGGTCCAATAGGTAGTCCCTAGAAGGTGACTAGCCACAAGTGTCAGTGAAAAGTGTTTTGAAAATGCCAAAAAGAAAAGAAAATATAAATAACTTAATTTGCAGTAACTGTAGTTTGATTATGAGACATCAAGACATTAAATTTTAAATTAAATTATTTTAATAAAATGTGCTAGTAATTATTTTTCTCTTATTTAAATTTATGACCGCTTCAATTGAACTTCAAAGAAGTTGGCATCTCCATCTAGTAATGTATCGATATGTCGATACATCGGGGAACCGCCTAAAAATCATCATAATCAAACAAAAGTAATATCTAGCTTTCCTGAAAAAGTTAACCTTTAAAAATCACCAAATTTAAAGCAAAGATCAAAGATTAACCAAAAGAAATTAGAAAATTAATTTACTTTTTTATTTGGGGTACGTTAGTCTTTTGTACAAAGTGGGGCGGGGAGTTGGTTACCAAACCCGACCCGCGATAGATGCAACCTTAGGATCTACGGTATAAAATAACTTAAACAATGTCCGCTTAAAACTACAAGTGCAATAATGGTATGAAATGAAGCTCGCTGCCCCGCGTCAATCGCTGCCTCCACCGCCCACCGCCGTCGTGGTGGGCGTACGCATGCTGAGGGGCGTGGCCGCGGGAGAAGCTACCGCCGTTGGATGTGGAGAGGAGGGAGCAGCAGTGGCCGTGGCTTCCTCAGCGGGCACACTGCTGCTCCTTTGTATGCTGAAGAACCGCAACAGCGTCGTCTCGCTGTTTCTTCTACTCGAGGTGGGCGTCCTTGGCTGAGTTGGTGTGTGGGAGGATGAACTGCCTCCTGCTGGTGTGCCGCCTCCGCCACCATCGTTATGAGAGATGCGTCTGCGGGGAGTGGCCTGCAACCGAGGACTACATTCGGATTGCCGGAGACTCTGGAGACGCGGGGAGGCCAGAACATCGGCCTGCTGGTCCTCGTTCATCTTATCGCTGAGCGTCACATGAGCCCGTCCACTCATAAGTTTCTGCTTACGGATATTCGTCAGCCAGTCCACCTTCTCCTTGGCCTTTCGCTTGGGCGACATGATACCCAGGTGGGGCGCCTCGCCATCCAGCACATAGTTGGGCAGATTGGAGGTGGGCGAGTAGATGACTGCAGAGAGTGGAGCTGGATTGGCGTTCTCCAACGCAGCTGCTGCTGCAGCCGCCGCCGAAGTTGTGGGCGGGGAGGTGTACATGTGATTTACATTCTCGCTCAACGGCGAATGATTGGGCGTGCTAAGGAGCTTGGGCAGGGGAGAGACTTCTTCACTCGCTGAATTCTCCTTTTGCCGCTTGCTGGGCGACGCTTCCTCTTCATTAATGGCTGTGAGCGTTATGTGCCGGCAGGTGCTTTCCTGACTGGAGGGTCCAAAGAGTCGCCTGCCTCGGGATTCCAGAGGTTTTGCCCGCTTCTGGGGCTGCTCGGTGGCCTCCGCTTCGCCATTCGCCACGCCAAGCATTTCCAAAAAGGAGCGCTTGGTGGTCACCTTTTCCATGGAGCCTGGAGTCCTTTCGTTCTGGTCCATCAGTCGTTTCAATGACCTTGGCGTGGACTCCAGATCGCGCAGATTGTACTTGTGATTCCCCACAGATGGAGCGGTCGAAGTCTTCTTGCCAAACTCCCTGACATAGGAGGCAGTTCCTCGGTACTGTTCTGCCCGCTCTGCTTCAGTTAAACCGTCGAGATCGGGACCAATCCGCCAAATTTTGTGCCGGGCATCATCGCTGCAGGTCACGATGGGGCAGTCGTGACTGGAGCCCCAGGCCACGCAGGTCACCTCCACCGTATGTCCAGCTAGGGCCACCAACGGCTCTTCCGCATGATCCAGATTCCAGATATACGCCCGCTCGTCGCTGCTACCGCTCAGCAAATACTTTCCGTCCGGACTCAGGCAGGACTTGATGTAGAACGTGGAGTTTAGGAGGCCCTTGTAACAGGCCAGCGGGCGGGGCGAGTAGGAGGCCAGATTGTAGCAGTAGATAGTGTTGTCCATGCAGTTGGCATAAAGCCGGGAGCCTGCAGCGTCTACAATCAGATTCGTGAATCCGCGGAAGGTGGAGTGGCCTGCGTAGGGCAGCTTGTGCCTGGGCAGCGGTTCCTTTTTGTAGGCCGTATAATTCCGTCGCAGGTCCCACACTTTAATCACTCCATCGCCGGCTCCACACGAGATCAGCGTGTCATTGTCCTGGAAGGCAAGACCTGTGATACTGCTCGACGTAGTTCCCGATGCCATTTTGGGGGTACGCGTGCGCTGTTTCCTTTGGGAGACAGGCGTTCCCGGTCCACCCGTATGTCCGCTATAGATGCAATTGTCCACGCGCGATGTGAGGTCCATGTTGAGGTTGGCCCGTATGTCCCAGATAAGAATGGCTCCATCACGGCCGCCAGTGGCGAAGACAGCGGGATCTGTCCGCTTGAAGGCCGCCGACTTTACGGATCGTGTGTGGCCCACATAGGAGTTGAGGCCGCGGATGCCAGAGCCAGCCACTTCCCATAGCCTGGCCGTGTGGTCGCCTGAGGCGGAAACGAAGCGCATCTGCCCCGGGGCCCATTCCAGGTCGAACACGGCATTGTAGTGGCACTGGGGACCCGCCAGGGATTGCTCCTCCGGCTCCTGATTCCTCTGCGTGGTGTCCTGCAGCGTAATCTTGCCATCCTCGTTGGCAATAGCCAGAATGTGTCGGTAGCCATCGCAATTGGCGAACTTGGCAGAGAAGATCGGCGGCTCTGGGTTGAAGTCCGGACAGTAGTTGGCCGGCGCAATGCCCCGCCAGCTGTCCTCCTTGGCCACGGATAGGCGGCGCAGGGCAAAGTCGTACGTCCGCTCGTTGGCTGTAGGGCGAAAGGAAAGGCGAAAATATTTGTGAAATTAATGCCGTGGCTTTGTCATGGTTTTCCCTCGAGTTTCTGCACGATCAGCAAATTCCCTGGGAGCAATCAGTAGGTATTCTTTTGGCGAATTGCCGATCCTCTAGGTAGAGATATAATGCTCTAACTTTAAACGGTCAGTTTACGCCCGAAAACCCTTTGAAGCCTTTTTGAAATTGACACCTTTCGAGACAGGGAATTCGAGCGCCAAAAGTGGGATTCTCCCGCCAAGCGAGAAACTTACCGAATCCGTGCTCCCTGGCCCTCAGTTTGTTGTATATGTTCATCTTGGAGGCCGCTCTGCAAATGCTTCGAGTTTTTCGCGATTTCACACTGGATTAATTGCTATTTCTTAAGAAATAAAACAACCAACGAAGCATCGAAAATATTTTTCAACAACGCAGCTGGACCCTTTCGCAGTGTGACCAAGTTTGGGAAAGTGTGATGGCATTCCAGCTGCAAGAAATACCAAAACAGCGATCACATTAGTATTATTTAAAATTTATCATTCTTAATGATAGTATATACAGGGTAAAGAAATTTCACACCGAAGTTTATATACCCTTGCAGATAGAACTTCGTTGACTAGGAATCAATAAATATAAATGTTTATATATGAAATGGTTAAATCTCAAATTTGATGTAAATCTGTTGAAAACGGAATGTGTTATAATTTTTAATTGTATTCATTTCTCGATCGTTCCTATGGGAGCATTTTTCGATCATTCCTATAGCAGCTATATGATATAGTAGTCCGATCCGGCCCGTTCCGACTTATATACCAGTAAGAGTTTATAGAATATTAACTACAAAGTTTTAATGAGATAGCTTCAAAACTAAGAAACTAGTTTGCGGACATGGCTAGATCGACTCGGCTATTGTTTCTGATCAAGAATATATATACTTTATATGGTCGGAGGTGCCTCTTTCCCTGCGTTGCAAACTTCTGACTGAGATTATAATACTCTGCTAGGGTATAAAAAAACGCCAAGAATGCTAGTAGCTGGTCACACTTTGAAGTATTTTCAGTTCGAGCAACTCGGTCACACTGTGGCTCATATTTTGTTTTTTGTTGCTGTTCCGCTGACTTGTTTTATGTTTAACCGAAGTTGCGCATTAAATTTCGCAGAAAATAGTTTAAAATCGACGCATTTCAATGCAGCTGTCCCCTTTTATTTGCTAGCGCCAGGATTTTGGATAGAAGAACTGTCGAGGGGATACACAAACACGAACGCACACAAGCGAAGGACTCAAGGATAAAGCCAAGGACTGCAGCAACAAAAACACAGGTGAGGCGCCAAAGCTATTTGTGGAATATGGTGGGGAAAGGTGATGGTGAAAGAGGGTTGGGTCTGCCTGTTGCAATCAATATCAAATATCAAAATCACACGATAACTTCAGCGAAGTTGGCCCACAAACGTATAAGTATTTCTTTGGCCAAGAAGGGGAAGAAGGAGAACTCAAGAGGCCGAGTGCTTTGGCTGTAGCGAACTTCCGCATTCGACTTGTGTCCTTGGGCGCCAACGCCCACCGCCCACCACCCGCTGCCCAACTCAAAGTTTTAGGGCTAGGCCTCCTTTCGGACCGTATTATTGCATTTCGCGTGACCTTAACCATTTGGAGCGGTCCGTGTCATGGCACGGTTATATGTTAGACAATATCTAAGTGGAACCGGGGCTCACTTAGTTAAATTAGAAACCAGGGATGCGGATGCCCGGCTCTAGATTGAGGCTTAGTGGGGTTAATATATGTATCTGAGCGCTTGAACTCGGTTGACCCGCGGGGGATTCCCTCCCGAGAGGCAGCACACTCTCATTCCCTTGGCCTTTGCTAGCCCTGGTCTAGACTCCTTGTTTGGACAGTTGGAAAAAGCTGCTGCCGCTGCCTGTGCCACCGCATTGCCATTTAAGGCTCTGACACGTACGACACGCGCTCCGAAGCCGTTAGAACGACCCTCCATATAGGCGATACGCGGGAACAGAAGCCGCCGCCGCCACCACACCACCCAACGGGCACAGTTGGTCATCCATTATTGATACAGTGAAGCTTCCGCCACTCAAGCTGTCTCAAGTTGAGTTTTGTGTACTGTCTCGTGTCAACAATAATTATTTATAGCTACGCATTGTACATTAGTCATGGAAAATTATTACAGTTTGAGCTCTTTGGGGGAACTATCTATCTAAAAACCTGTGTTAACTTGAATTTGTTTAAATGTTACTGTTTTTAGGAGGGAAGAGATGTTTTACCAAAAAGAAAAACATTAAAGCTCGTGAAAGTAAATCATTTTCATGGAATAATTAAAAACTCTTTGAAAATTATTGCGATCTTGTTTTTTAACAAGAAGATAATAATATTTAGGACCCAATACATAATATAATTTTCCAAAACGCATTAAAGTTCAACGTATCAAGCCTTTATTGTATTATTCCCTCACTCCCGTCAAAAAACAAAGAACCACAACACCGTAACCGCTGCAAAGAAAGAAGCAGGTTATTCTTTATCTAAAGATACTACGATGGTGATGAATGTAGCCTAATCGAGTTTTGTTTCTTCAATATATTTGTAATTCCTTATCAATGCCTACGCCTCTGGAATCGGTGTAATATTCGTATGTGTGAAATATAAACAGCAACCAACATGTCGACGCTTCGACAATGCCTGCTGCTGTGGAGCGTCGACTACTGGAACTTGGAAGGTAAACCGCTGAATAGTGCGGATCTGCTTTGCTTCTCATTTGCTGCCAGTTGTCAGTCTTCGGTTCAGTTCAGTTCAGTTCAGTTGTTTCTTTTGGTTTTTTTCTCCGTTTTGTTGCTCCGCCACAATGCATCGCGTCAATGAATATGCAACGATAATAATATCTGAATCTTTGTATATACCACTCCGGGGACCCCTCCCATCCGCTTTAGTCATGGCCGACAATGTGTTCAAGTCGCACGATATCGGGCTGCGGGCGCAGAAGAAGATCCTCTCACGCATGGCCACCAAAAACATAGCCAAGACGTTCATCGATGGTACGACGGCCTCCCTGCTGGACAACCTGTACAAGCTGTGCAAGCTGCATACCGGGAACAAAGCCAAGGCGGAGAAACTGATCAAGAATATCATAAAGATTGTGATTAAGATTGGAGTCCTGCACCGGAATAATCAGTTCAGCGACGATGAGCTGCAGAAGGCGGAGAACTTTAAGAGAAAGTTTCAGGTGAGTTTCAGTATCTAAAACATTTAAAACTTTATTAACAAGACACTCCCTTTTTTAGAATACCCAACTCTCCATCATATCATTCTACGAGGTGGACTTCACCTTCGATTTGGCCTACCTGCAAAAGTCCATTGCCGAATCGCATGTGGCTCTCAAGTCCATAGTACAGCCACATCTCACAGAGAAATCACTGGGCCGCATCGACGAAGTGTTCGATTTCTTTGGCGAGGCAACGCTGCTGGAGACCGCCTTCCGATCCGACTCCCCCTATCGCGAGGTAATGGGAAAAATCGTGGCTGACATCAATGCCGCCATGGAAATGGGCGACATCTGAAGGGTATGCGGACCTGTGCTGTCATTGCGTGCTATGTAAGGCTATTTCTCTATCGAAACCAAAAAGCAGCCAGTTTGCTTATACCATAAGCGCACCCACCAACACCAAAATACAAAAGTCTAGATTTAGATAGAGGACAGAAAGCAGGGCAGAGCGAGGGTGGTGGGAGAAAAGCTATAAAAGACAAGGAAAACAAATGAAAGCCAGGAAACACAGAGTTAAATTTAATTTGAATCGGTGATATATCATTGACAACAAATATCAAAAGTGTAAAGACGTCCGTATTATTGATTATTTTGATGACAACGTTAACGTTAACATTTGTATGTGTACTCAAGTCTATATATGATGTAGTTTGTAATAATTAGGAAGAACCAAATGCATTTCGCCAAAGGAATTCACCAAACGGAAACGAAAACGGAAATTGTAAACTCGAGCAGAATGCTTTTCTTTTAATTGGTGTATAAGTCGTTGATCGTATATAGTAAGTGTGCGCGTGTAACTTTATATATGTATATGTGTAAGACCAGATGTTAAATGGGAAATACTTCAAGCACAAGAAAAGCAATTACTTTTTGATACTCTAAACTCGCTAAAGAACACCGTCTGAATCAGACTTCTAAGTACTTAATTAACCTCTGCTTGATCAACAGATCAGCGTCACCTAAACTCACCTGTGTGCTAGATGTAAACCATGCTAAGTTGTCACCAGAACCTGTTTATCACCCGACTCCTTTGCCTATTGATCTTCGTATTTCTCTATGTATTCCAAGCCTCAAAGGGGTCACTAACCTTAAGCATTATTTATGATGATATTCCACATTGTGCGGTTCCCACAAATGATATTCCAAGTACTTGAAATCGAAACATATCGAAACTATCCGAGAATGCAACGCTAATGGGGACAATAATTTCGACATTTCAAGCACAGTTTTAGTCGTTTAGATTTTAAATATTTATTTGTTGATAAAATAAACAGCAACAATTACCGAAAACACCCTTAACTCCTACCAATCTCTTTCACTCAGCCCGCTTTTTGCTCAGCAAATCATGGGCTTCCTCGCCAGCTTCCAGCTGCTGTTGGCGGAAGAGCTCGATAAGCTTCTCAGTGGCGGATTGTGGGGTCTCCAGTGGCTTGGATGCCTCCGTATTGGGATAAACCTGACCTTGGGTCTCCGGTGAACGCAACAGGAAGGGTGTCCATGGACCCTGGATGGAGGGCACATCCGTGTGCCACATTTTACGCAGACGCAGGGAGCTGGAGCTGCCGTTTTGGGTCTTAAGCAGATCTATCCACTTGGAGATCTCTTCCTGGGTGTTGTTTCTGCAGTTCAGCCATTCCCGATCGCCGTTTACTAAAAGGAAGTATATATTTTTCATTAACTGCCTTATAGAAGCTTTTATTCAAGACTCACAATACTCTCCCACCAACACAGGGGTACGATGGCGTCTGGGCTTTACATAGACCACAATTCCAGGATTTTCCTTGGCAAAGTCCACTAAATGGTTCTCAATAAAGTCACTAAATAGTTGAAAAAACAATAATTAATACATTTTAAGTTAAATTTAATCTCTTCACCTACCGCATGCCCCTGCTCGAACCATTGTTTTTACAGAACTTCAGTGTGATTCGCTGCAGCTGGCAGACGTAGCGCCCCAAGCCATTTTGCAGGGGAGCCCGGGGAAAGCCAGACTTTAAGAACAAATGGCTGTTTGACATTTTGTATTTGTTTTTAATTCAATTGCGCTTAAATAACAAAACTTTTGTAATTGGAGAGAAGACGTAACAGCATGCCGCAAACAGCTGTTTCTTGTCGTGATGAAGGCGAAGAACTAGCTATAAAAACTAGCTTTTAAAAAGCTAGAGTTTTATATTAATCTCTATGAAATATTAATAAGCTTTGAACTATTATCAGAAATGTTCGAAAATAAATTAAAATTAATAAATAATTATTAATCCCAGTAAGATCTTTAACACCTGACAAACGAAGCAAAAAGGAAAATACCAGAAAAAAATTATTATTTCTACTACTTTTAGCCCCTCTGTACGTGCTCATCTCTACCCAGAGACAGGGATGTTAACGGCAACGCCTCCCATTCGCTGAACGCCATCCCTGGTCTGATAAAGGCACGAAGAAGCGGCACAAAAGAGAAACCGAGTAATGCAGGCGGCGTCGCTTTTCTTTTGATTGGAAAACTACGAAGCGGAGTAGAAAGCGTGTGCAACGTGTAAAAGTGGAGCGCACGCACCGAGCTGGCCTCGTGGCTTATCATCTGTAAATAGAGCGAAAACATGGCCACAGTAAGCATAAAAACTACGCTTTTTAATCGCAATCGCAGGCATGTAAACAACGGCTTTTGCCCGCACACACAGACTTTTGCAGGTTCGAAGTTCTCCACCAAACATGTTCTAGTTGACGACGATGACGAGGGGGAGGAGGAGCAGACGGAGGAGGAAGAAGACTCCGGAAAGTCTGGTTCGACGAGCTCGTTCAGCCTGCAGGAGTGCATCGACGAGTTCCGGGCACGTCGCACCCGCCGGGTGTCCACACACAGTCGCGACTGCGACAACAATTTGCCAAGGAATAATCGGGAGACCCGAACGCGCCGAACTATGGATGCGGACCTAATCAACCAGAATCGCTGCAACAAGGAGCAGGAGCGCAAGGGCAAGCCCTGCCAAAACGGCTTCTGCTATTGCTTCACCAGCGACAGTGGCGACTGCGGTTCCACGGCTCCGCCACGTGACCAGCACGTGCGCCTGCCCCGGCGCAGCAGGCGGTCCGAGAGCAGCAAGGTGAGTGCCCAACCCGACTCCTAATTAAACCTAAGAATGCCCGTATTCAATCCAGGTTATTTCCGCTTTTCAGGCCACCAAGCAGAACAATCTGGGCAGCCAGGAGAAGCAGCAGGCGGAGAAACGACGTCTAAGCGAGCCGGCCAATGTGAAATCCTCGCAAACGTCTCCTCTCACTGCTGTCAGTAGCCTGCGAGCCGTGGCCGGCGACGGTGAGCCGCTTATCCACATCATTCAGGAACTGCGCGACAATTGTGTGGTGTCCGAGGTGCGCGTAAACAGGCAAAAGCTACCAGTGGCAAGTAGCACCAGCTGCAGACACAGGAACTCACAATCACAGAGTCTAAAGACAACCACAACGAAGCAACTGAAGTACGAACCCATAGAGTACAAACCCACCGCTCCTGTTCTCTCCAACATCAGTGAGCAGGAGTCGGCTGTGGAAGAGGAGCACGAGAAGGAGATGTTGTTTGCAGAGCAAGAGAAGGAACTGTTGTCCGCAGAGCCTTCGAGTCGCAGAAGCTCTCGCTCTCGGCGCAGTTCCGGTGGTGGTGGGCGTCTTCTGCAGAAACGCCTCTCCCTAAGTGAAGCCAAGTACAAACCTCGTGAAAGCCAAAAGCCTCCGCCGCCAAAGCCACCAAGGTGCAGCTCCCACAGTCTCACAGACGGAACCTCGCTGACCTCCACGAATCCCTCTGTGCGGGAAGCAGAGCGAGTGCTGGACGAGTTTCTGCGCAAGCGAGGCGTCTGTGTGCCGGTCAGTAATCCTACCAAGTCATCGCGATCGAAGGAGAGTCAGCGCAGATCATATCCCATGGGTGAGTAGCCAATTCCAAGGCCCCAAATGAAACCGTAACCAAACCTCAGACTAAGATACCTTTCTAGCCAAATTAGTTTTACCAAAAAACCAAATGTATTTGCCAAAATAAAGAGTTGTGTTTCTGAAAATGTTGAGTTACGGTTTCATTAATGAAATCCTTGCTTCCTTGTTTCGTTTTTTAATAAGTTACCCTTGCAGCCGAGGTGGAGAAACCCAAGAGAAGTCCCAACAAACAGCATCTGCCGACTTGCCCTTCGTTGAGCGACATTGAGCGCGTAGTAGAGTCCAAGCGCGGTTCGCATTATGCCCGGAATATCCGACAGGAGACGGGCATCAACAGCCGGAAAAGTGACCCCTCTAAGCAGATCATACTCGGTTGGACAGAGCCCAAGATCACCGACATGCTCAACTACGAAGGCAAGCAGAAGGCCAAAGACTTTAAGACACACGCCGCCCCAGCTGAGCCACAAGTGGCCATCGGTTGGCAAATGCCGCAGCCAGTGGTTCCCAAAATCTCCCTGGACACTGTGGACGGAAGCATGAGCGAGAATCTCGCCGTGAATATGGAATACAAGGATACGCCCATTAAGTATCCCAGGGGAATCAAGACAACTGGCGGGCAGGCCAGCCAGAAGTTTATCTGGGGCGAACAGTGGCGCAATCTTTCACCCTGGAAGGGCAACAAGTCCAAGAAGTTGGGCTCCAAATCTAAGAACTTTCTCAATAACTCCAAGAACAAGATACTCCGCTTTGTTTCGCCCAAGAAATCGAATCAGCAGGAGGAGCAAAACCGATTAGAACACCTCCCAAGCTATGCACTGTTGGCGTGCAGACCTCCACCTCGCAGCTGGATCTACAATCGCAATCGCCGCCTGGTAGCTACCATTCTCCCATGCAGACGACGCCTTCCGGCACAACCACATCCACTCGCCAGCAGCCTTACTTTGATTTCGAGCGCAAAGTGCAGGCTCCGACGCCGCCAAAGAAGATACCACGTGCCAATAGAGCTCGCAAGCTGGATTTCCAAGCAGAACCAACGGCGGCCACCTATCGTTCGTATCAGAAGGATCTCGACCACGATGTGACCATCAACAAGATGGGCTACTTGCTGAGCAGCATTCGGGCCAAGCTGGAGGCCAGCGACGAGCGTGCATTGAGAACATTTCGGGTGAGTTGGAACACTTTAATGTCTGGTAGATGATAAGGGGGACAATCTTAAGAACTAGACAACACAGAATATGACGCCCATGGCGTAATGGTCCGAGCCCAGATAGTGATTGGGAATCTGGCCCACGCGAAAGCAGGTTTGAATCGTGGGCAGTGAGTAGACGCTGATTGGCAGCAGCTTGTGCTTTCGTTTGGCGTCAAGTGAACGCAGGATGTAGTCCACGGTGATCCAGTTGTCCTGGTACGTGGAGACAGTACCCTCGCCCGGATCGATGAGATTGAAGCGCAACATCTCCGTCTCTTTACAGACTTCACTCTTTCCTTCCTCGCCGATTAGCAGCTTCATGGGTGCAGCGAATATCTCGCTGTTGAAGTCGCCGGTTAAGACTGCAGGTGTTTCGTCTGCGGTAAAGGTGTTCAGCTCCCTTAGAGCTCTGCTCACCTGAGCACAGCGCACGTCTGACCTTTTTGGGTTGTACAGCAAATGGGTGGTGGCCACTGCGAATTCCTTGGGTTCCGGATAGTCCTTGAACCGAAACTTGGCGAATAGCGCCACCATCTCGCGGTTGAGCAGAGCCACATCGGGGTCATGAAGCTCCACAGCTTGCTGATCCAGCAACTGAAACTTGTCCGAGTCATAGACAATGGCACAGCCGTCCGTCCGATGTCCAGTCTTCTTTTTGTACACATACGCCAGTCGCCGGCCACTGCCCACGCGCAGACCCTGAATGAACGGGGCCAGGTGATCGAACTGGATCTCCTGCAGGCACAGGATGTCGGGATTCAGCCGGATCAGTTCTCGCTGCAGGTTCTGCTGGCGACGACGCCACGTGAGGAATTCCTTCTGGATGTTCTGGTACAGATGCAGATGCTCCAGCAAGAGGTCCTGGGCCAGTATGTTGTACGAGACTAGCTTAAAGGTGGGCAGTTTTCTGGCGCTCCTGTTGTCACTATTGCCATCCTGAACGGGCGTCCACCTCCTGTTGTGGTCGTAGCTGGTTTCCATTTCCGTGGGTTTTCCTTTGATGTTATTTGTTATATTGAAACGTCTGGCAATGGCACTGGGAATTTTGATTGGAAATGCAGGAATCAGGACTTTAAACATCTCATCAGGTGTGACTCGCCATTTGCCAGTGCGTCTCGCGTCCTTATTATTTGTTTTATTTTATAAAACTTAAAATTTCGCTCTCGAATATGACACCGAAAGAGACGGAAGGGGATAAAAATGCTTCAGTCAGCTGTTTTTGCGTTGTTTGCTTTACTTTTTCATTTCGTCTTTGCTGGGTTGCATTGCCATTGTTATCGATAACATGCAGTCCGCTTTAATCTATCGGAATTCAAAATGTGTAATTGCATTTGTATAATTTGTTTCTTTACAGGACTGCTCTCGTTCTGATCCCATTACTAGCTTCGATTGCACTGATGGACCAACCAGCAGCCTGGCCACCACATCGGTGCGGTTGACCAGTTGCCAACGTGTCGATAGCGAGCCCATTTACTCGGAGATCGAGGAAGATTGCTTGCGGATCAGGGGAGTCCCCATCACGAGGTCAGGACTGCAGCACATCTGATCAATCCCACGACCACCTCCACACCCAGCTCAACGACCTATGTGAGTGAAAGCACCGCAGTGCAATCGCCATCACCCGCTGATCTCAGTGGCATGTACGCCCGAGTGCAAAAGACGCCTAAGAATTCGCCTCAGCCAAAGACTCAGGTTGTGCAGAGCGAAGATGATGTGGGTAAGGGGATTCAGCAACAGATGGTACAACCTAAAGCCCAAATAGTGCAACCTATGGTAACGCCAAAGCCAACCCAGCAAGCAACTACTGCTGCTCCAAAGGCACCCTTGGCCTTGGGTCACTTCCTACACGAATCCCTGAAAAACGGCAACTTCTTTCAATTCATGCCGCTGCCCGAGGAGCCAGGCAGTAGCTCCGAGACCTCCTGCTCGGCCAGCCGAAGCACTGGATCATCGGTTGTTCGTCAGCCCCAGCTAAAGTCACCAGCGCCACTCACCCATCATTCTTTAAACAACATCAGTGAGAAGGATTCGCCGCCAAAGAAGAATAGGAATCTCTCTCGATCAGAACTCTCGCTGCAGCGCAGTGAGATCTTCCTGGACAACCTGTGTCGCAGTGAACTTGTGCTAGATCGCCTAGAGAAGGTGCCCAATGTGAGTGATATATTCTAGAAAATGTCTTCAACTTGATTTTCAACTTGAAAAACTTATTTTCAGACCTCTTCTCATGTGGATTCCGTGTCCTATGACCTGCCCCATGAAGGCGTCGAAGAGCTGTATGCGGACTACAGCAGCTCTTCATTCGTGACCAATGACTATGGATCGGGTCAGATAGAACCGGAGCCGGAGAACCAGAGTACACCGAAAAAGAGGCAACAGCAACAGCAGCAGCATAATCAGCGATTCACAACCAAGGTAGAGATTTTTGTTGACTCCCATTAAGGGACACACTTTGTACATCCTGCAAATAGCTTCTATCTATCATCACACACACTGTACTGTACATTTATCCATCGCTTTCCTAAGAAATACAAGAGTTGTTTTGTTTATCAAATCCGATTCAGTAGTAATGGTTTGTCTTTCAGCCCGCCGGCAATCTGAGCATTGATATTAACGATGGCCCAGCCACGCCGCTGCGTCAGAATCTCAGCTTCAGCTGCCCCACAACGCCCCAGCAGGCGGAGCAGCAGCCGACTGGTCTCCACAACAGCTCCAGCCTGGGTGAACTACCCAATAACACCTGCGAGAGCCAACTGATGTCGGTTAGCGCTTTGGCCCGTTACCGCCTGTTGAAGGATGCTCTTCGCCGATCGTATCGCAAGGGCAAGGACTTCATAAAAAGCGAAAAGCAGCGACTGGCGCAGAGCCTGAATTTGTCGCGGGATCAGTCTAATTCGGGGGAGTGTGACAGTAGCACATACTATGCCAGCTTCAATTTGGATTCCCTGCTGAACGAGTCGCTGAGCACCAGCGAACAGCTTGCCCAGGCTGTAAGTATTTGCCGCCAGATGCCGGAGCTGGAGATCTCCTCAGAGATGGTGGAGGCGGAGCGACTTCTGCTCTTCTCCAGTCTGCGCAAGGCAGCTCCGCTCAATGAGGATTGTGCTCCGTTAGCTGGGCGATCCCAGTGCCTTTTAATCGATGCCATGGAGTTGCCTGTAAGGGCCGATGTAAGCCTGGATATGTTCTTCAACTACCACTTTATCTGCACCTTTGAGAGTGGCGGTGTGATCCGGTCCACGCAGTCGGTGGAGTGCCAGAATGGCTCTGCCTTCTTCCGGGACTGTGGCCTGGAGTTCTACAGCGATGAGAGGTCTGATTCCCTGGAGCTGCGCTGTCAGATCTTCATGCTGCGTCTGCGTAAGGTCTCCACCCTTTCCCTGGAGCCAGCCAAGTCTCTGGTAAGTATCCTTAGTTCTTCAAGGAAAGCAGTGCCCTAATAATATCACCTTGCAGCGACGTGGCAGTGGGAATCTGGGTTCCTCCAACTCCAATTCTTCATCGGGATCTGCTGGGACAGAGAATATCATTTCCCGCTTTCGGCTGCACGCCTCATTCACTGTGAGAGCCATGGATCTGGCACCTTTTGAACTGGTGGCCAGTGAAACGAGATCCGGTGACAAGATTTGCCTGCGCAGCTCGAGATCCTGGCAATTTCCCCTAAGTCCGCACTTCAAATCCACTAATCTGGGACCAGGTATATCCATCACAGGGAGGGTAGACCTAAGGCTTCCTAAGATCCATTTTGCGGGCTACCTTAACGTTCAGGATCCAAAGAGCAGGCATCATTGGAATCGTCGCTGGTGTAGCCTAGATGGCGTCCTGTTATCCGTATGGCAACATGAGGATAATCTCGTCGATGAATCGCCGATTTTCACCATGGAACTGCCAGGATGTGGACAAAGTGTCATAACAGCAGCTCCTCGAGAGCTATGCGCCCGAGCCAGGAGCTTTCTGGTCCAGGGAAAGCAGTCGGAATACGAATCGGGTGTGTTCTTTGCGGCGGATACTCAATCGGAGCTGCAAGAATGGCTAACACACTTGAATGAGGCTTTGCGTTTTGCCAGGCATTGGCTAAGTGCCACCTGACAGGTGTTGCATTCCATAGAGTTTCTCTATTCTTTTCCTTTTTTATTTTATATATGTTTGTGTTAACGTTATGTATATTTATATATTTTGGTATTCTCCGGGAATTGTAAATTAGAATGTTTGCCATGCAAACTTGCCGCTAAAATTCAGTTTAAGTTAAGTTGTAGAAAGATATATCTGTAGACTTAGATAGCTAACATTCCTTGGCCTTTTGTGGGGGGTAAATAGTCATTTGTATTGGAACTTGAGATGTTGATCAAAAGGAAAATATTGTACATATCAAAAGGTATTTTAAGCGACAAATAAGTTAAATTATATTTGTCAAATTCGTCTATTGATAAAGTCAAAATGTTAAAGTCAAAGGCAATATTTTTGATATCATTGTTAATACATCCCTGCCATATAGTACCCCCTGATGATGTCTATGGCCTTTTGCCGTTCACGTCACAACAACAACAGTTTATTACATACATAATTTACATGGGGGGCTACGAGATAACTCGATAAGATACAGAGAGACGATTATACATATATATATATATTTTGATATACATAGGTTACAAATATGATACACAATGTACGTACGTTATATGCGCGTCGGATGTCCCGGTTATCGCTGCCCCTTATCCATCCTCACATTCGTGCCTAGTTAGTGCCTACACGCATAGCTATTACATTTAAGTATATGTACTATTACTTTTAAGCTGCGTTTTTCTTGTAATTTCGTTTTCGTTTTGGTTTCGTTTTCGTTTCGTTTGCTCATTACAGTGCAAAACATAAAGAGAGTCTGAGGTTATGTTTGTTGTGGTATTGTTTCTCAAGCAATTTACATACTTATAACTTGTACATAACTTAAGCACTTACTATTCTCTATTGATCTCTGACAATGACTTAAAACTGTTTTGTGGGGTTGGGCTCGTCTTCTGTAACTATTTTGTGGTCGCTTCTAAGGGTCTAGGGATATGCAGGTGCGCAGTGTGTGAGTCGGGCCTGGGTTTTTGTTAATGTGGGATTTTTTCCTCTGACTTAGCCTCAGGCCAGAACGTACTTCCACACGCGATTCGTCTGATGATTGGTCCCGATCTCGGTCACATACAGGCCGAGCCGTTAACGCTGACCGCCATGGAGTGCGGATTCTTGAACTCGCCCCAGTGCCCGATGATGGCCTCCGAGCGGGGATCGATGGTGAAGCCACGCACCGGTAGCATCGAGGTGGGACCATTGACAGCAAAGACTATATCACCATAGCTGGCCACGCCAAAGACACGTCCCAGATCGGGTTCCTGGATGGTGGCCGCCGGCTCACCTTCGCCATGGGAAGAAATCAAACCAGCTCTGCAAAGGAAAACCCCTTAGCTTTGGATGCATAAGAAGGTATATAGCTCCTCTTACTTGGGACACACCACTCGCATGTTTTCCCGATCGGCAATGCACAGGAGATCCAGGTGCTCCAGCAGGGTGATGGCATGGGGTACTTGCAAAGACAGAAACTCTGCAAAAACATAGTTTATTAGTTAATCTTTCAATCAGTTTGATATTACGTATACGCACCGGGTGGCTGGGGAATCGTACGCAGCAGTTTGCCAGCGGCATTAAACTTCAAGATGCGACTATTGCAGTAGCCATCGGCTATGAAGAACTTTAAGAAAATGGAATATAAGAAAAATCTTAAGGATTATATTATACCACACTCACCTCTCCCGTGGTGGCCACCGCTATGGAAGTGGGCTTACACAAATGCTTAACGGATGAGCCGGGCCGGAAACGTTTGCCAATGGTGAGCAGCGGCTTGTTGCTGAAGGGCTTAAACTAAGAGAAGAACTTGGGTTAAATTTTAATCTGTGGTTTATGTTAAACTAAGCTTACTTTAAAAGCCTGATGCATGGCCACATCGGTGATCCAGTAGTTGCCATGACCATCGATGGTCATGCCATGTGGCATATAGAACATATTTGATCCCCAGCCGGTCTTGATGGAACCCGTCTTCGCGTCCAGCACGTAGATGGTCTTCTCCTTGATCGGTCCATATTCGATAAGGTAATAGATATTGCTCTCATTGAAGGTGCTAAAGAGGAAATGCAAAGTATTAATACCATATACTTTTCAAAGGAACTTATAATAACAAGATGCCTAAAGCCCATATATGTGAATTGCCACAACTTTAAAGTTATCCTTTAATAGGTAAAAACTAGATCAAAGATTGACCCCAAAATGAAAAGTGAAAAGCCTTTACCCCCCTCTGGCAATCCTTTACATACATTTGGGATAGACACTTGTTACTAGGCGGCGACAGCTGTTGACCTACTTAACATCCCAGTAGCGCTCGGCACGATGGAAAACCACCGGGTTGCCCTGAGGATCCACAGCCACGGCGGTCACCTGACCAAAGCTATGCTGCTCCGTGGGCCAGTTCTCCACCAGCACGGGAGTTGGAACACTGGCAGCTGGTATGGGTACATTATCGTAGCTGCGTTGATTTTGCAAGGCAACAGCATCGTCCACGACCAGCGGCAGCGGCATCTCCGATTGTTCCGACGATGGCTTCGAGAGCTCCTTCTCCTGCAGCCGCCGCTTGATGAGGGCTCGCACCTGGTCGAAGAAGCGCTCATTGAGATTGACCTGGCCAGGCTCCAGATCCACATCCATGCCCAGACCAGCTGGCAGGTGGTTGCTGCTGCTGCTGCTGATGCCAGTGGGTGCCACACTTCCCAGGTACATCAGCGCCAGGAGGGCCGCGAACGGAAGGCGCGACATTATCCTTTCGTTTTTTTTCTTTGGAATGTGAAATGTGGAAGTCCTGTGATTTTGTAACCCAAAAACAAATTGGTTTTTAGGCCTCTGGTTGCGCTCACTCGATTTTCCGCACTGCCAACATCTGTTGGTGTTGGCGGTGGTGTCTATATGTTGAGCTGGCAAAAGATTAACTGACTCTGGTCCAAGCACACACTCGAATGCACACACACACACTGGGACTGTGAATGACTCCCACGCTTTTCGATTTTCGCTTTCAATGCGGCGCCTGCGCCTTGGTCCTGCACGGTGGGTTTAAAAGGTGAAAAAGGATAAATCAAGGGTAAAGTGATGTAAAATATAATATTTAATCATGTTGAGAATAAGAAATAATGGAAAACCTATTTTAAATATCCAATTAAAACCAGAGAAGTCTTAAAAATATGTGTTAAATGAAATAAAAGAATGTAGAAGTTTGGTATTACCTTTCCTTAGTGTAAAAGTCTCAGTTGTATTCAAATTTATTTCCACTGTGGCCCTGCCGCAAGCATTCGTGAATTGGAAAGCGTTTATTGATTTTCCACAAAGTCAACCAGCCAACAGTTTGCCAAAAAGTAATACCACATCCAACTCGTAAATTTATTTAGCACAAATATCGATAACAGCTGCTGGTGAAGATGACCTCCTCACCATAGTGTCCGTGTACTTTCTCTCTGCTTTCTCTGCTCTCTCTATTAAGGGGTTTATTTTGGGGGAAATGTATGCATACAGTCGGCAGTCAGTGTCTTTGACGTCACAGCAAACTGTGGGGCGTACGGGTCCGGATCCGGGCTTACTTCATCCTACGCCCCCCAATCCCAGTTCGGCTGAGTCCAAATATAGCCGGTGTCCGTCATCGAGCAGTAGGCATTATAATAGCGTCCCGGCGAGCTAAGGAAATCCGAGTGGCAAATTACGACAGCAGTAACAATTTCAATTTCAATTTCTATTCAAAATCCCATCTCTTAGAATTTTGTGAACTCACCGGCAGTAGGAGAACTGCGGGCACTTGCAGCGGAAGAGGCTCTGGAACTCCTCTTTGCATACCTCGTTCCACCAGCAGGTGCGCTGCAAAAGGGAGAAGGGGAAACGGAAACGGAAATGGGGTTAGTTTACCAAGTTGATTTCCGGCAAAAGAGGAGTGCCACCTCGGTCATGTAGCCGTGGACACTTTGGTCCGAGTAGCTGCGCTTTGAGAGATGCGCCTGCACGTGACAGAAGAGCAACAGAAGCAACAGTCTGGAGGTCTTCAGGGGAAGCATAACTGAAGAGGACTGTAAGGGAATTAAATCAATTTAATTAAATAATTTTCAATGCATTTTAAATGAATTTAAAAATATTGAAAAGTACGTAAGTCTCCCAAATATATATACTCACCATCTTGTTGGCTTACTTCCTTGACAAACTGGCCAGTGGTCTGGCTTTAAGGTACAGTGAACACTGGACGTGTCGCATGTCCTGCGGTGAATGTCGCCTGCTTTCTAACCTCCTGCCGGGGCGGTGGCGTCGTCATCTCGGCAACGCAGCATCTCGGCTGCCTTGCATAAGTACCACACACATTTGGCCCCGTTCGCCGTCGGCTCTCAGCTTTCACTACTTTCGCACACTTGCAAATACACACAGCAGGCACACACACTCACACTCAGCTGGCACACACACAGCAGCCTGCAGTTGCACATCTGTTTTTGGTTTGCTGTTTTTTGGGAGAGCTTTTTGGCCATTTTCAAGTGGTAATTGCCCCACGGTTTTGCCTGCACTTTGGGTACATGGAAAAATACAGGGTGGGAAAGAGTAAATCTTACAAATAAAATATTAAATAGTTCCAAATTCTAGATTAATATATATATTTATATATTAAATTTGATGATACTTTGATTGATTAATTGATTTGATACTTGCTGGTCATAGTTACTTACTGCTCATAATTAATTACTGATCATAGTTAATTACTGGCCATAGTTAATTACTGGCCATAGTTAAATAATGTCTAATTGTATATAAACAATGAGACCTTCCCTACGCTTCTCAAAAAACCAAATTGTGTTTGCCTCTCTTTTACTCTCTCTCAAAAATAATACTTTCCTAGCATTCACTCTGTCTCAAAAAAGTGCCCTCCTCTGCGCTTCTCAACCAGTGTACTTAAGCACCGTAGCAAACACAATTATTTTTGTTCTTCTTCTTGTTCCGTTTTAAAGTTTCTAGTTAAATTTGATATATACATATATAGTCCACCGATTCGCCATGCTCCGACTTTACAGAAATGTGTTGAGTTACAAAAGTTGCAAGTCATTGTTTATTAGTGATCAATGTTACTCACTGGTCATAGATACTTACTGCTCATAGTTACTCACTGCTCAAAAAAGTGCCCTCCTCTGCGCTTCTCAACCAGTGTACTTAAGCACCGTAGCAAACACAATTATTTTTGTTCTTCTTCTTGTTCCGTTTTAAAGTTTCTATTTAAATTTGATATAAATATATTCCACCGATTTGCCATGCTCCGACTGTACAGAAATGTGTTTTTACAAAAGTTGCAAGTCATTGTTTATTAGTGATCAAAGTTACTCACTGGTCATAGATACTTACTGCTCATAGTTACTCACTGCTCAAAAAAGTGCCCTCCTCTGCGCTTCTCAACTAGTGTACTTAAGCACCGTAGCAAACACAATTATTTTTGTTCTTCTTCTTGTTCCGTTTTAAAGTTTCTAATCAAATTTGTGTTTAAATCCAAACTTTACCTATTGTAAAATCTGTGTTAAATTAAAGTTTCCTATCACAACTACTACTAAACAAAATCCCGGAAAAACAGATGCCAACTTCGTAGCCTTGTCTCTGGTACTCCACCAAGCCTGCAGAGAGAGAGTAAGTAACAAATCATTTAACTACTTGGGGATACTGATGATCTTGAGATTTAAGATGTTGTTTATGTGGGAATATTTAAATGGAAAAGTTTTTATTACTTTATGTTCATAGATACTTACTGCTCATAGTTAATTAATGATCATAGTTACTTGCTGTTGAAAGATACTTCATGATTCTCTACACTTAACAACCGTTTCTGACTAAAATTATAGTATTCTGCGAATGTATAAAAAGATTCATATAAAGATATTTTCAACTTGTAATTGCAACCTGAAAGACACCGCAGCACATCTTTATAATTTTAATTCATGATTTATGCCATACTAACTCAACAAAATTGTTGATATAAATTCTCAACAATATATGAAAAATTCTTTTTTTTTATTTTTGCACTTTTTGTTTTATTTTTTTGAGGTTCAAGCGACGTCATACTCAAAAGTCTGATTGAAAACGCACGCGACATGACTCAGCAGCAGGGAAAGAGGCTGAGAAACAAGCAAAAGTGGCAGCAGATGCTTAAAATAGTTGGGAAACTCATTTAGTGGGCAAAGTATTTTCATATTGGCCACATCAAACCGAATTTCCACAGGTGGAAAATTATGAAAATTCCTTTAGACACAAGTGAACTTTATATATGTATATGACAGATTTTTGTGGGCGTAAAAATGTTCCAATTTTGTTCTGGCATTTTCCAGGCTGATATAAAATATTTTTCGCTTTGAGTTTTCTGGAAAGTATTTTCTTGCCATTTGTTTACCCTTCCAAAGGTATAATAACTTAAGGTCGAAGCTTGCAAACGTAGTGAAAGAGTCATTTCCGGCCCTATAAACCATATATATTCTTAATCAGCATTAAAAGGCGAGTCAATGTTGCTATATTTAAAAATAATGATAAAAAATTGTCAAAAATTGGCAAAAAATTTGAATTTTTTAAAATTTTAAATAAAGTATACAGTTTTTTCCCCTTTAAAAACTAGCAAAGAAATGCTTTCCGAATTTAATTTAAATTTTTGGCTTAGTTATGATCGATTTTATAAGAGTCAATGACAAGGGTATACAAACTTTCCTCTACCCCAAGATATATTGCTTTTTTGTTATTTTTCTAATATAAACAAAATACATTTTAAAGTACAAAACTGTGAGAATTTCATGTGGGCTTTGTTTTGTTTAGTAGCTGGCAAAAACAGTTTATTAGAGAAAGTCTTCTCAAGAATGATTCAAGCTTTCAGCACTAGAAACTTCCGCAGTTTAAAATACGATAGAATCTTCTTTAGGTCAGCAGACTGAACAGTCTAGGCGGTCTCCAAATCTTCGACTCCCACGGAAATTTAACAAAAACACCAAGAAATATATTGCAGATTCGCACCAAATATACTTATATACAAAAATTCAGTGTGTTCTCTATAGAGACAGAGACCGGGTGTGTATGACGCTCGCCTAAATTTAGATGGGAAATAAATTTTCATATTTTTAGCTTTGGGATGTAAACACTCGACTGAGGGTATAAAACCGTGTGAATTCTCGCTGAGCTTCATCATAATCGCAACGGCGGTGAATAGAAAAAGACACGCGAATCGAAAGATCCAAAAGTATTATCCAAGGTACGCAGAAGGATATAGCAGAAAAGGACTACAAGTGCCAAGTGATAAGCTTGATTCTTTCCTTGATCAAAACCAGATGTCCGTAGTGCCCCTGATGTTCCGTGATTGGTGGGATGAACTCGACTTTCCAATGCGCAGCTCGCGCCTATTGGATCAGCACTTTGGCCAGGGTCTCCGGCGGGATGATCTGATGTCCTCCGTGTGGAACTCTCGCCCCACAGTCCTGAGATCCGGCTACCTGCGTCCCTGGCAGAAGAACAGTCTGCAGAAACAGGAATCCGGCTCGAATCTGACCATCGATAGTGAGAAATTCGAGGTTATTCTGGATGTCCAGCAGTTCTCGCCCAATGAGATCACCGTCAAGGTGGCGGACAAGTTCGTGATTGTGGAGGGAAAGCATGAGGAGAAGCAGGATGAGCATGGATATGTCTCCCGTCAGTTCTCCAGACGTTACCAGTTGCCAAGTGAGTATTATCGTATCATATAGAGTCTCTTACAGTTCCTTTATTTCCCTGCAATATTTCTTACTAATATGTTACTTTACCCTTTTTCCCAGGTGATGTCAATCCCGACACTGTGACCTCCTCGCTCTCCTCCGATGGTCTGTTGACCATCACGGCGCCCATGAAGAAGCTGCCACCACCCTCGACTGAACGCCTTGTGCAAATCACACAGACTGGTCCCTCCTCCAAGGAGGACAATGCCAAGAAGGTGGAAACCTCCACGGCCTGAGGCTGAGTTTAGTTTAACGCTTTGAGCAATTATTAGTGTATGTGTCTACGTGTGCCTTAAATATTGGACTTTTTACAAGATTTTTGAAAAATATTTTATAACAATTAAAAAAAGAAACTAAAGATAATGTACGGAAGGAGTTTCTTCTAGGATTCATTAAGTAGCAAGAGTTCTTCCAAACTAATAGAATTCTCCTTGAGACTCTTCTGTATCTTTTCATTGGCCTTGGCAATTTGTTCTGGTTTGAGCTCATCCTTATAGCCATTAACCTCTCCACGTCGCACAAAACTGGAAGATTACAAAATTAATTAAGTATATAGAAGCCATAAAAGAGACCTTTCCATACTTGTGCTTTTCCTTGCCAGCATCTTTGTGTCTTAATTGGGCTTGCTCCCATCTATGGTTTGTAGTTGGATTTTCTGTAATTAAAAGTACCATTTAATAATCCATTAAAGTATCTATAAAATTCCTTACTTTTCATTTCATCAAAAGACAAATGTTTTAGCAGTCTTTCCATTTGTTCATCGCTTACTGGTTTATTCAAAAACCTAGAAACATCACTGATCACTCCTCGAAGATCCTTCTTCATTCTCTCGAAACTGGTGTAGAAAATCCAAGGTTTATTTCTTAGTTGATAAAATTCCTGAGCATGTTCAATGGTCTCCGTTACAAACTCTTCGCAAGACACACGCTCTTCGATCATCTCTTCCAGGGTCTTTCCATAAGCAAATCCCATAGTCACACTGTGATAATATTGAGAAACCCAGGCATCCAGAGGGTTACGGAACACATAGATCACTTTATTTTTTCCCTCCCAAAGTTTTGCGGGCAACAAAGCCAGTGGCAGATGAGACTTGATCAAACGAGGAGACTTGAATTCCTGCACAAATCTTAACGCTCGCTCAGCATCCTTATTGATGAAAAAATCAAACCTAAATGAAAGGAAATTTAAAGATTAGACTCTATAGAGTTATAATATCAGCATATCTACCCCAAAAACGGAGAGCGTAGCTCTTGATCTTTGGCCAAAGCTCCCTCGAAGTCACAATTGTTGAGGAGTAACCACAGCAATTCCTGCATCCAAGTGGTTCCACATTTTGGAAGAGTTACGATCCAAACATCATCCTCCCTAACTTCCATATCATGGACGAGATCGAGAAACTCATGTGCGTCGGCATTCATATGGAAATGTTTCCTCTTCGACCAGTCTTTGTCAATGAGCTCCGTGGGATAGCTCCGTGGCGTGACCTGAACTCTCTGCATTCCGACGACTTACTGACTTGGTGTGGATACTGGTGAGTATTTAAAAGATACAAAGTTAACTTTATCTCTTGCTCTCTGACTAGTATCTAGTATCTAGCATTTGTGGGTTTTTTAATCGTACATTTTATTTTTGTGGGTATATTTTTGCTGGACTTAGTCCTTATCCATGCGGTTTGTGGGTTATCTCAATAACCTTTGGCACCTTTGAGTTTGTTTAAACTAAATGTTAATATCTATTCCCATTCCCATCCAAATCTGTCATTAAGAAAGTGCTTTAGTTATTCCTATACATCATGTTTATTCAAAGAGTATTATTTTATGACTCATTAAGTAGCAAAAGTTCTTCCATAGTGATAGAATTCTCTTTCAGACTCTTCTCTATCCAGACGTTAACCTTCTCAATTTGCTGGGGTTTGAGCTCATCTTTGTAGCCATTGACCTTGCCTCTTCGCACAAAACTGGAATAAGAAAAAAGATTATTATCTCAGGAACGACTTATAAAAAAGGTACCTAACTTCGGTATGCTGAAGTTTATATACCCTTGCAGTTTTCAATCGAATTGTAAGTGCTTCTTTGAACCGATATATATCATTATTTTTATATGACAATTTTTTCGACCGAAAAGATTTTAAAAATATCATAATTGAGCCAAAAATTCATTAATTTTAAATCTAATTTAATTTTTATTAGATAAAAAAGTCTGCTTACTTTATTTAAAATTAAAATTTTATAAAATATTGAAAAAATTGTCAAAACTGTACTATTTTTCCTACATGCCTAGAAAGATTCTCCTGTTGATGCTGATCAAGAATATATATGATTTATATCGTCGGAAATGACTCCTACACTGCTCTTCAAGCTTCTGACTAAAATAGTGATACCCTGCAAAAGGACTCTTTCTTACTTGTGCTTTTCTTTCCAGCATTTTTGTGACTGGTGTGAGTGTTGTGGGCTCTCTCCCAGAGATGATTTGTGGTGGGATTTTCTAAATTGAAATTAAATATTAGTAATCTATAATCTGTGAATGCATATACTACTCACTTTTCATTTCCTCAAAAGACAAATGCTTCAGCAGTCTTTCCATTTGCTCTTCGCTTACTGGTTTATTCAGAAACTTAGACACATCATCGATTACTCCTCGAAGATCCTTTTTCATTCTCTCAAAACTGGTGTAGAAAATCCAAGGTTCATTTCTCAGTTGGTAGAATTCGTAGGCGTGTTCTATGATCTCCGTTACGTACTCTTGGGAAGACACCTGCTCATCAAAGTATTCTTCTAGAGTCTTGCCATAAAAAGGTCCCGTGGTAACACCATGATAATAGAGTGATACCCAAGCATCGAGGGGATTCCGAAACACATAGATAACTTTATTTTTTCCCAGCCACAACTTGGAGGGTAGTAGAGGGAGTGCAAAATGAGATTTAATCAGACGAGGGGACTTTATTTCTTGGACGGGTTTCAAAGAGTTCTCTAAATCTTCATAAATACAGAAGTTAAACCTTAAATGAGGGAAGTATAAAGATTAGAGTTTCATGATTAAGGAGGTGAATACTTACTCCAAAAACGGAGATCGGAGCTCCTGATGTGTTGAAAGAGCTCCCTCGAAGTCACAATTGTTGAGAAGTAACCACAGCAACTCCTGCATCCAAGTGGTTCCTGACTTTGGAAGGGTGACGACCCAGACGTCATCCTCCCGAATTTCCATGTCATGAATCACATCAATAAATTCCTGTATTTTTACATATCTATGGGTAATTTTCCTCTTCGACCAGTCTTTGTCAATGAGCTCCGTGGGATAGGTCCGTGGCGTGACCTGAACTCTCTGCATTCCGACGACTTACTGACTTGGTGTGGATACTATTTAAGAAATGCAAAGTCAACTTTCTCTCTTGCTCTCTGACTATTATTTTGACGATAAGGCTATCTAAAAGCTGTGGGTTTTTATTATAATCGTATATTTTTAGCCCTATTCCATGCGGTATGTGGGTTAACAAATTGGAGAGATCTAATTTTGCACCTTTTGATTATTTTTAAACTACATTTTAATGGCTATTCCTATTCCCATCCAATTGAGAAGGAGCTTTAATTGTTCTTATATGTACATCATGTTTATTCAAAGAGTATTCTTATATGACTCGTTAAGTAGCAAAAGTTCTTCCATAGTGATAGAATTCTCCTTCAGACTCTTCTCTATCCAGACGTTCACCTTCTCAATTTGTTCAGGTTTGAGCTCATCTTTGTAGCCATTAACCTTGCCTCTTCGCACAAAACTGGAACAAGGAAAAAGATTATTTTCTAAATCCCCTTAGCAGTTTTCAATCGAATTATAGGTGCTTCTTTGAATCGATATATATCCATATTTTTATATGACAATTTGTTCGACTAAACAGAATTTTAAAAATTTCATAACTAAGCCAAAAATTCATTAATTTTAATTCGGAAAAATTTTCTATGCTAGTTTTTATTAGAAAAATAAATCTGCATACTTCATTTAAAATGATAATTTTCGCCAATCTTTTAATATTTTAACGATGTAAAATACTTGAAAAAATGTATTATTTTTCCTACATGCCTAGAAAGGTTCTCCTGTTGATGCTGATCAAGAATACATATGAATATATAAGAATGAATATGAATATATATATATAGGGTCGAAAATGACTCTTTCACTGTTTTTTTAACTTCTGACTAAAATAATGATACCCTGCAAAAGGACTCTTTCTTACTTGTGTTTTTCCTTTCCAGCATTTTTGTGAGTGGTGTGGGCTTTGTGGGCTCTCTCCCAGAGATGATTTGTGGTGGGATTTTCTAAATTTGAAATTAAATATTAGTAATCTATAATCTGTGAATGCATATACTACTCACTTTTCATTTCCTCAAAAGACAAATGCTTCAGCAGTCTTTCCATTTGCTCTTCGCTTACTGGTTTATTCAGAAATTTAGACACATCATTTATTACTCCTTGAAGATCCTTTTTCATTCTCTCAAAACTGGTGTAGAAAATCCAAGGTTCCTTTCTCAGTTGGTAGAATTCGTAGGCGTGTTCTATGATCTCCGTTACGTACTCTTGGGAAGACACCTGCTCATCAAAGTATTGTTCTAGGGTTTTGCCATAATTAGGGCCCGTGGTAACACCATGATAATAGAGTGATACCCAAGCATCGAGGGGATTCCGAAAGACATAGATAACTTTATTTGTACCCAGCCACAACTTGGAGGGTAGTAGAGGAAGTGCCAAATGAGATTTAATCAGACGAGGGGACTGAAGTTCTTGGACAGGTTTCAAAGAGTCCTCTATATCTTCATTTATGTAGAAATTGAACCTTAAATGAGGAATATATAATATATAGGTATATAGATTAGAGTCTCATGATTAAGGAGTGGAATACTTACTCCAAAAAAGGAGATCGGAGCTCCTGATGTGTTGAAAGAGCTCCCTCGAAGTCACAATTGTTGAGAAGTAACCACAGTAGTTCCTGCATCCAAGTGGTTCCTGACTTTGGAAGGGTGACGACCCAGACGTCATCCTCCCGAATTTCCATGTCATGAATCACATCAAGAAATTCCGGTATATTTACATTTTTATGGGTAATTTTCCGCTTGGACCAGTCTTTGTCAATGAGGTTTTTGGGAAAACTCCGTGGCGTGACCTGTACTCTCTGCATTCCGACGGCTTACTGACTTGTAGAAGCTATAGATACATTTACTGGGGGGAGTATTCATGAGATACGCAGCTCTCTCTTCTCTTTGCAAACTTCTCACTCTGTTTCTCTGTTTTTCTCTCTGTCGTATTTCGATGATAAGGTTGCACAGTAGTTGTTGCTTATTTGCTTTTTGATTCGATTTTAATTGGAGAGCTCTCTGCTCTCATTTCGAGCGATAATGGAATTGTAAACAAGAGCACTATGAAGATATAGATGTCAGTCGTGGACAGGGAAATACAAAGAGGTATCAATGTGGTAAAGTCAACAAGTGATTTGTTATTTAATAACAAAAACTGAGAGCGGAAAGTAAGAAATCTTGGTGAATCCATCGCTTTTGATAAGCTTATATATGTGATAATGACCACTGAAACCGACTATAGACACTGTAAATCCATTAAGTTACTTCAATGGAAAGCAATTGTTTATTAAACATATATCACCGCAGCTTACAGACTATTAACAAAGATTAGATAAATTTATTGCCTGGGGAAAACTCTAGGCAGAAGCAAACTTGCTGTAGTTGGCAAAGTCATCCATGTTCAATTTGTGATCCCTGAGATTGATATCCGACCAAAGATCAAACTCCCGGATAATGTCCGCGGTGAGCTCATCCTTGTGGCTGCCCACGACGCCTCGACGAACGAACCTGTGGTTAGAGTTGCTTTTAAGCCAGCTCCTGAATAATTCCTGAATAATTCTTTCTTCCAAGACTCACCTGAACTCCTCTACCTCTCTTCCAGCAGCGGCCTTCATGCTTTCAAACTCCTTGACATGATTACAGGCGGGATTATCGCGCATGCTCTCAAAGGATAGGTGTTTAGTCATCTGCTGTATCTGATCCTGGCTCACCGAACGCCCTAGAAACTGTGCCACCTCGGCTATAACCTCAGCCAATTGTCCCTTCATCCTCTCATAGCTGGTGAAGAATATGTGCGGCTCATGGCGCAGTTGCCAAAAGTCCAAGACATGTGGCCAGCAGGGCGTAAAGTTCACATAACCATCGATGAAGGAGTGCATAAAGTCGGACTTGGTGCCCTGGTAGCCCACCATGCCACGCCAGTGATGGAAGTACGAGATGGCAGCATCCTTGGGATTCCGATAAACATAGATGATCTTGGGACGCTTGCTCCAGATCTGACTGGGCAGCATCCAGGCAGGTAGATGGGATTTGATCAATCTGGGCGAGGGCAAGGCATTGGCTGCCTCGATGGTGTCATGGGGGACATTGGGCACCACACCATTGAATCTACAAGAATATAGATATAAAGTTTCTTTCTAGATTTACTCCTGACTGAAAACCCACTCCAGAAAGGGAGATCTTATAGTGAGATCCACACTCTTGGCCGTCTCAAAGTCACAGCGATTGATCACCAGCCAGGCCAGCTCCTGCATCCAGGTGGTGCCACATTTGGGCAGTGTCACTATCCACACATCATCCTCTCGCACCTTGAAATCATAAACCCGATCGAGTACGGGCTGAAAGGTGTCTGCCAGGCGGCAGAAACGCTGCTCCCATTGGCCAACAACTGGCACATCTGGCTTACTGGTGGCATAGATGGAGGAGTAACCACCGCTGATGGCCAGCTTATCGATCTGCTCGAAGGGCACACTCTTGGCAAAGAAGCTCGACTGCGGCATCGCGCGGAAAAAGGCACTAATATTCACGGGAAATCGATCGATCGAACTGATCGCCTCGGCAGCTTGAAGCGCATTGAACGGGGTCCCCATATTACTCGCAGAATCTCTCGGTTCGTTTCCTCAATTTGGAGATGGCAACGTGACACGATCTCAAGCCTCCCAATGAAAGGAAACCATTATCATTATGAGTGAGAGTTATGGAAGCCACAATCACGCTGTCACCTCCCATATAGATTATGCAATTAACGCGTAACCGGACTCGTTTTGGGACCGACTTTGGTCGTGCCGCAAGACTGAAAGACTTTCTTTGTGAGGAAGGAAAGAGAGAAAGAAAGAAACTTTCTTTTAAAGCTGGCAATGCTTTGTTTACCTTTCAGGTGAAATTAGGCCCACGGTTTTTTGTCAAAGCCATTTAGTTGGAAGAATGCCTTATTGGGGAACCCTAAAACAGGTTGTTAATATGCAGAGAATCATACTGGGATCCATTAAGGCGAAAGCGAGTGGAGAATTTAAATGATCCGAAAGTGATTTCATAATAGTTTCTATATATATATTCCCAACCTTGACCTTAATCTCCTATAATTTGTAGTTCATATCCATTTTGTTTTAAGTTTTTATTTGTATTATTTGCATTTCTTGTTTTCATTTTTGTATGTTTTTGTTTTGTTGTTTTGTGTTTGGTTTTTACAATAAATTTGACTAAATCTTAACATTTATAATCCTTAACCTGCAAGGAGCAAACAGATGTAGTAACAAATACACACACACTCGCACACACACAAGTTGTGTATCGTTTGTTGTGTGTGTGTCAGAAACATATAGTAGTATATCGTATCTATATATATATATATTCTTCATAACTTGTAATGTAATTTATGCGATTTAATCCAATACATATACAATTGAAACACACACATATTAACAACATTGAATATGCAGATACATTAATATATATATTAATGCCCAACGCTGCTCTATCTCTCAGCTTGATTTGTTTACTCTTTCCCATTTGTTTATGTATTTGTTTATTTATTTGTTTACTTCTGTGTGTGAGCTTTGATGGGATGGGATACGGATAGTCTGGGTCTGGAGGGGATCATCTGAGCTGTACTCGGGACTAGGGAGTCGGATCTAGAGGGTCTTGTATACGTGTATATATATAATTTCTATCAAAACATTGTTGAAGCACGGGTTTTAACACATCCAAAATTACTGTAACTCTGTGAATGACTGCGCCGATATCGTATGACATATATAAATATATATATAATATGCATCGTAAAAGTTGTATAAATTGTATATATATATGTATATGTATATTTTTGTATATATATTATTTTGCTTTTCATTATCATTTCATTTTTCACTTTCCCCTCTAACTTCATCTCATTCAATTATAACAAGAACATATTATCAATTCGTATTAATAGATCTGGTTTATATATGTATATGTAATTTGTTCAGTCAATTAGATAAAAAGATTTCAAAAAGGATTTCACTTAATTGTTAAACATTTGCGTTTAGTTTGATTTCTCATACCGTATGCTTAGAAGCTAAACAACATTAATAATAGTAGGTTTTTTGTTTAGTGGTAGGATAGAGCTCATATCAACGTTCCTCTTGTTCAGTTGGGAAGGTAACTAGTTAATCATTAGGTAGTTAGAGTAATTAGAGTAGTTAGAGTAGTAGTAGTAGTAAAAGGGGCCCCATACGATTTCATTTAAAATATGTCTCAAGAGTGGATTCGAATTAGTTTTGATTCCTCATCATCATTATCAGTTTCCTTAGTTTCCTTCAGTAGTGTAGCTAGTCGATAGTGATAGGTAGTTATTAAATAGTGACTGCCTGCACTGTTGTGTGTGGTCTTTCCGAATCTTAAGATTTATACGATTCCGAACTAGTTTTACTTGGCCTTGCAGAGATTGTCTTCTTGATGTGGGAGAGAACTGTGGGCTATAACTATCTAGATATATAGATATAGCCTGGCCTTGACTGCTGTACGATTTAAGATCGTGTTTCGCCAGGTACAGGTTGAGCGCACGCCATATTGTTGCTCCGTTTCTGGCCAATATGCTGTGGGATTTTAGCCTGCTTTTGTTAGCCTAAACACATACACATTTACTTGGGTTGGAGGGACATGCACACACGCGCAGCATTTACACACAGACAGACTCACACGGTTTTATTTTGTTTTCTTTCCTTTTTATATAGAAATAGAAATAGTTTGCTTCTTGTGATGCATCTTAAACATTTAATTTTGAGTCCAGCCCAATAATTGTTTACTTTGTTTTGTTTGTTTGTTTGCCTTAGTTAGTTCTTTTTGTTTTTAGCTCGTTTGCTTTTGTGACACCGCTTTGCCTTTTTTTGGCTCACCCCACGACACCTGTCCTTGCCCCAATGGTCCTGTCCGTTGGTCCGTTGAGGGATATGTGAGTGTGTGGGTGTGTGTGTGTGTGGGCGGGACACAACAGGTGTTGAGGGTTGGGGGAGCTGCACGAACTCGAACCTCGATCAGGTCGAGAGACTGCGAGTCCGGAGAAGAACGTCGCAGGACCAACGACGCCGTCACTAGAGTACATCCTCCATTTCGTTCTCGCCAATCGTGGAGGTGCCCGGCACATGGGCCGGCAGTGGCTTCAGTAGACCCGAGAACAATCTCCGGAAGGCCGTATGCTATTTGGAGTTGGCCATCTTGCCCACCGGCGGCTGCTTGGCCATAATGTCAGCCAAAGTGTTGACACCCTGCTCATCGTACTTCTTCCATTGCGAATAGTTGATCTGCATGTAAGTGATCAGTTGCGGCATGTCGATGAAGCCTGAATGGAGAGAGAGATTAGATATAGTTCCAAGGATACCTAGTTCCATGGGGAGTACTCACTCTCCCAGGCATGCATCATGTCCTGAATGATGTATTCGATGAAGCCAATCTGGCTCTTTGGTATGCTGCAGGTGGCCCGATCAAACATTGGCATCACAATGGGCAAATGTCGCTGCTTCTCCTCGTCCGTCTGCATAAAGTACTCCTCGGCTATGCGCCGGGCCCACTCGATGCAGAATTGCATGGGACGGGCGGGATTGCTCACATCGGCCACCTTGATCAGCATTCTGCGCATGAGTATGGATGTCTCCTCCTCCGTCTGCGAGTGTTGCTAAATGGGATATAAGATAGATTACTTAATAGCCTAGATATCACCTCTAATCAACTCACCTCCCGGGGCTCTTCGCCACCAAAGACGCTCACAAACTTGGCCAGATGCTCAAAGTGCCGGGTCATCTCGGTGGCCAGAATCATGTCGATGATGGTGCTGCGAGCTGACTTGTAGGTCTCCTTGTCCAGGTTCTTGAAAATGTTGATCTTTTCATCACCTAAAGATACCATTAAACTATAGTTTCTCTTTAGTAAATTCCCAAGAACTCTTACCCAAAGTGAGCTTGAAGGTTATGGCCGCATGATGGTTCTCCAGCACGGTTAGATCATTGTACAGGACAGCCAGGGCATCGTTCGAGTTGCACAGGAAGGCCGAGGATCGTCCTGGATGATCCACATCATGGGCAGCGGCTGCAATCAAAGCGGTTGCCTCATCCATGCGATCCATTACCAGCATATCCTTGTTGGTCAGCTGGGTGATGAATGCTCCAGTGGCCTAAAGAAAGACAAGGAGTCAGCTTAGCTCTCTTATTAAGGAAGGGTATAGTTTACTTACCTGCATAACATCTGCTGCATGGGTGCTATTGTGATATGTGTTGCTCTTGCGATAATGGGCCTCCATCACTGCCAGCCAGGCCTTGCACACGTTCTCATCAATGTTCAGGGTGGCAAAGACATCGAAGCGACGGAACATTTCCATGCCCAGGTAGAGCAGTGGATGATAGTCGGTGATCTCCTCCAATTTGAAAATATCAAAGTCCCAGCTGAGAGATTCTTCAAGAAGTTCCATGATGATGGGATTGGCCTGCAGAGTAAATATGGGATCTAAAATGCTTTCTCATGGGATTCGGGTCACCCTTCCTACCTTCATCTTGGCTGGCACTATTGTGGCTGTTCTGGTGGAGCTGCCAGTGCGTATGATGGAGTCATTCGAGCTGCGACGCGATGAGTAAACGCTGGGTCCCTAAAGCAATGAAATCACTTGGTTAAGATTGGCGTAACCCAAGGATGGGATGATTCTTAACTACCGTCAGCAGGGCACCGATCAGATCGGTGGCTATGGGATCATCCGTTCGTATCTCCTTCATCTGCGGACTGTAGAGGCCCTCGCGTTTCAGGAACTCCAGGACCTTGTCGATGAGACGAGCCTCATCGGCCGAACAATTCTCCTGTACTTGTGATAGTAAATTGATTATCTAATGTGCGAGTGCGCAGTGATTGCGTTTTGATTTATTTATTTGGTTTTTGTTGTGTTTGTTGTTGGTTTTTTTTTCGGTTGTTTGATTTAAGTTTTGTACATTTGTTTTTTAATTATTATTATTTGATTTTTGTTTTGGTTAGCGACGCACAGCGAGCAAATCGAGCGAGCGAGCGAGCGAACGTGCGAGCGAATTTGTAATATAATATATATTTTTTATGAGTTGGTTCATTTGTTCGAGTACACAAAACATAAAAGTAAAAAAGAGAACATAACAATTAAGAGATAAAAAGAGAATAAATGTAAAAAACATGTTGGTTTAGTTGTGCTGTTACTGTTGATATTTTTGGGGATTAGTAAGGCGTTATGACAAATTAGGAGCTCCAATCAGAGTTAGGAACGAACGAAGTGAGCCTTTAAATCAAATGCATTCACTTCAGTTTGGAGTGGATTATGAGAGGTCCTGCCAAGGACACCCTCGTATAGCTTCCTTTGACCGGCTTAGGGCCAATTGAATGGGAAATTTGATAATTAAAAGCGTAGTGAATGCAATCAACGATGGCCTTTACATCTCCATCAAAGTTAGCACAAAACTCCAACCCGGCAAATGCATTTGCTCTTGGCCATCTCACTGGGAGTGTGTGTGTGTGTGCCTGTGTCTGTGTGTGTGTTTGCTAGTGTGTGTGTGGATGGTCATGGTCTGTGGGCATGTGCTAGTGCAAATATTGTTGCTAATGCTTTTGCTGTCGCTGCTGCAGTTGCTCGGGGGCATGAACAGGACACCAGGACACACTGACACACACACACACACACAGGCACACACACACACACAGGCACACACACATGGGAACGGAGGCACAGGACCGAGGCACAATCACGGACGACAATTTAGTAGCAATTTAGGCACTCCCCACAAACAGACACCGCCCTTCCACCCCAAAAAGGGTGCACAACCCGTATATGCAAATGGAGTCATACTTTAGTGATGGGCGCCTCCAGGGGCAGCGATGTGAGCTTGGCCAAACTGGTCCTTCGCAGTCCATCCGAGGCTATCGACCGGACATCGAAGCTGCACCGTCGCACCGAATGCAGGGAGCCCCGCGGAGCCTCCTTGGGCTGTGGCAGTGTGGCTATGAAGTCCATCTGCCCGCCGGGCACATCAAAGTTGAAAATCAGGTGCGTGGGTGCGCTGCGATATAGAAAGATTGCCAATTAGCATGGAGAGATGGGGGAAGAGTCCAGGTGAAGGAATCTCTCTCACCTGCCGATGCAGGCCACCGGCACAACGCGTACGTGCATGGGTATGCCCTCCTGGCTCTTGCGGCGCACCGTCAGTATGCCATCGAACTCCTTGATGCTCTTGCCCTGCTCACTGATGGTGGACAGGTCCGACACGAATATGTCCGCCAGCGGCTTGCTAATGATTTCGTCCTGTTGTCCGAAACGCGGAAATCTCATTAATGCGAAGGACCCAAGGACCCACTCCCTCCTCACTCACCAGCCGCATGTTGAGGAGCCTCTCGGTGGCCCTGTTTGCGTACTGAATGCGCAGCACGTCGTCCGTGATGAGCACCACCTCCTTCAGCCGATGCAGAGCCGTGTAGAGTGCCTGGAGGGAATACGGACAGACCATGGTGGGTTTACAGTTTCACTTGGCGGCTTCCATTTAATTGAATTAATTTTCAGGACACAGCTTTTGGGGGGAGGGGGAGGGGGAGGGAAAACGTAGCAGGACATTAACTCGATTACCTGTTGAGTGGACATGACATTGTGCGGCCGGATGATGGAGTGCAGTATCTGCTTCAGTTCCACACTGCACATGGCCAGGTTGGTCGTCTCCGCTACGCACTGTGGAACACACAAAGGAGAGCAGGCACTTGAGGCATCTGTTCCGAGGGGGAGGCAATTAACTGAAACTTACTCTATTAACGCCAGCGTCCAATAGAGCAATTAGCACATCATCCTTCTCGAAGAAACTGCCAAAGGTCGGATCGGTCGTTAGTGGTAAACTTTAACTCCAGTGCTCCATCAGACACAAAACTTACCTCTTCTTGCAGACTGCAATTATTGTCGTTAAATGGTGGCCATGTGTGTGACGTATGGTTCTGCAGGAGGAGCAGGCGGAGCGGGAGAACAGGAGAAGTTTTATGGCAAAGTGAAAAGTTTATGAAAATGGAAAAGTTTGGAAAACTTTGTGCCAACCCTAAACAAGTGGCAACCCGAACCCATTTCAACTGAGGCGGCAACCCATTTGGAGTAGCCTTAGTAACCCACCTCGCAATATGCTCCGCATCCAGATTCTTGGCGGAACGTGCATCAATTATGATTAGGTGGTAGCACTGGGCGGTGGCATACGACTTCTGCAGGGTGTCCAGCGCCTCCTCCTTCGACTTGACCAGCGTTACGTCCAGCTGGTGGCGCTGGCAGGCCGCGGTGACCGCCTCGCAGATGCTGTCCGCCTTGTGGAAGACCAGCAGGGCCTAAACAAAAAGAAAAGCGGATGAGGAGTGTCCAAAGCCATTGCACTGATTGAATTGCCCCAGAGTTCAAAGTGGCCCTCAGAGAGCTTACCTTAAGTTGAGGATTCGGTGGTAGCACGGTTGGATACTTCAGGTCCATGAGATTTCGCTGCAACGAGAGGTGGAAGGAGACGGAAGGATAAAAGATAAAACAGGGGATACACAGGACAGGGAGCTAACGTGTAAAATTTAATATAAATCCGTAGCTACGCTGGCTTTCCGCCCATCAGAATAAGAGGGCTTAACCCGGCTTCGCATTTTTTCCCACCGTCTGTCGTCCATATGCTTGTATCCGTGCAGTCCCTCCCGTGTATCTGTGTATCTGTCAGTGCGTCGTCGTCGGGTGCCTCCCTATCTACCAGATACCAGATACCAGCTACGCGAGCACAATGCCAGCCGGCGTGTGTGTCGCCCAAATGATGATAAATTAAAATAAAATTGCCCGCCACCAACTCCAAAACTCTCTGAGTCTCATTCTGATTCTGATTCTGACTTATGTGAGGTGGCTGCAGATTTATAATACGAGCACGTTAAATCCCGGAAGAACAAACGAACGCTGGAGCGGGCTCAGTGTCAATCAGGGGAATGAAAATGTAATCGGAAATGTATCACAGCCATTTTCCACACACCCACACACACACTCTGCGTTCGGATGTAATAAGACGCGGCTAAGGCGGCAGATTGATGGGACAACCGTAAAAGTTGGTCCTGCTACCTGAAAAGTCCTGAACTCCTCCTCCTCGGTGATTTTCTTGGCGGCCACCTGGAGGTGAAGCTTCGGCACCTTGGGCAGTCGTCTCTCGTACAGGCTGCGTGTCTTACGCTCCAGGCAGTTGACCTTGCGACGAAGGACCACTGTCTCCTCGCTGCTGTCGCACTCCATCTCCTGGTGACATCGCTCCGCACGGGGCTCCCTTGGGTCTGCCTCCAAGTTGAGGCTGTTGAGCAATAGAGCCGGTACATCCAGGCTGCGTATGACCTCGACTATTTCCGGCTGCATCACTCCAGTTCCAGTTCCAGCTCCTCCTACAGCTCCCGCTCTGGAGCCAAAGGCCATGCTCAGTGGCCTTGTGCTGCGACGCAGGGGGGTCATTATGTCACGACCTTCGGCGGCCACACTCGCCTCGTATCCAGCTCCATTTCCTCGGGCGTTTTACTCGAGTTCCGCCCACCAAATGGCAGGGAAATGGCCACTGGAGGAGCCACTGCGAAATCGTTTCCATTTCATTTCCGGGCAGGAACCTTGGCCGTCGCCGCCCGGTGGTGGCAGCGAATCCGTATACAAATCCGTTTCGGAATCCAAATGAACAGAGCTTATCAGCCGGCTGCGAGCGCTATCGTCATCTGGCATTGGTCTTTCATTACGGTTATCGCGACGCGGATCGGATATAGCCATAGAAGCCGGCGGAGCAACAGCTGCGACATACGGCTCCGAGTCGGAGTCGGAGTCGGAGGCGGGCTCGGTGGGATTCTCGCGGTGGATTCCGGCGGGGAGGAGGACTTGGCCGAGTTGGAGGAGGATTTGCGGCGAAAGACATGGCTAAATTTTGGCAAGCAATTGCGCATTCTGCTAATTATAAAACAACACTTGACGCGGGGGAGAGAGGAGATTGCGAGCAAGCAGAGCACACGGAGCACTAAACACTAAACACTGAACACTAGACAGCGAACACTGGGCACTTGAGGTCCAATGTCTTAGATCAATAACAAGTTGTTTGCATAAGCGACGCCACACGAACGGAGGAGAGGCATTTTCAACTTTTCCACGACGCCTAATGCCAGACTAATGGGACAATCTCGATTTGTATCTGTAAGACTGTCGATATCTGTATCTACAGCTCTCTATCTAAAAGCTGTAGCTGTATCTGTATCTGTATCTGTATCTGCGTTTCTAGCTCAATCTGTATCTCAATCGCTTCAGAATAGTAATTCACAGGTCTTGTGGTCGCGACGCTCGACACATCGAACTGAACCGAAACGTCGTCCGTCCTCGTCCGTCGATCGCAGGGGTAATCTCTTTCTTTGCCTTTTGATTTCCCACCTTCAATGTTAATTGATTTGATTTCTGTGGTAGCCCATATTGTTTATACACCGTATGGGTATGGGTGAGCGGCTATTTAAAGCGAAATGTAAAGCGGCGGAAAGCGCAGCGGAGAGGAGAGAGAGAGAGCGAGAGCGTGTACAGCGGCAGGTTGTGATAAGATACCTTATCAGACGACGTAACACCCATGTGGTCGATCGAGTGGGGCACTACGACTCTCTCTCCTCGATGTTCCAGAGGAGATTCAGACTCAGACTCAGACTCACCTGGTACACGTCCATTGGCTCATCTTCCGGTGTTAAGCGAGGGCGAGCGATGACTTGCGGTGGCGGTGGCTGTTGCCGCCACCGGATGAACTGGTGCCCGAGGTGCCTGTGCCTGTAAGAAGAGTGTTCGGCAGTTAGTGGAAAATTGTCTTTTCAGGTGTTGCGAGGTGGAGGAAAATACCCCAGAAAAATATGCTACATTTCTGGGCGTAGCGGAACGCTGCATACTTTCGGGTCTAAATGCCCGCACGCCCACAATCAAAATGAATGGTCACCAGAACCCACAACAAACACACAACATACACACACAACACACACACACAGGAACCAACACTTTGCCAGGGACACGCACGCACATTAATTCCTCTTGTTGCACGTTTTATTTAATTATAAACGTTGGCATTTCAGAAACACTTTATAAACGAACGGGTAGCTCCCTCACCACACGCACTCACACACGTGTGTGTGTGGATCCCTGCGAAAGGATACGGGGTTAGTCCTTAGGGAAGCTGCTCCTGAACTGTCAACGGAGGCACTCCAACCCTCTGAGCACTGAGCACTGACTGAGTCCTGGTGCCCCAAGGAACTCAGCTCCGCAAATTATATTTTACTTAATGAGAAGCAGGACTTCAATGGACTAAAGGCTGACCCAGGGTATATATATTTTTTTTTTTTGCATATGGAGCATAAAATTAGTTCTTAAACAAGTTGGGAAATTTATCAAACAAAGTTTTGATGTTCAAATAATTAAAAGTTGGAAGGTTTTGGAAGTCCTAAATTCATATGTACACAATTAAAAGGGGGGTCTATCTAACTAGCTTAAATTTGTAAATAGAAAGTATATTTTAAGCAGCAAACCCAGCTAATAGTTAAGTTTAATAAATAGATTAAACAGCTTTAAACAATTGAGGCGGAATAGGTATTAAATCCCTATGCAAACAATTAGACTTAAGATTTTCTATAAGATATAGATTCCATATCGCCTATACTTCCATCAATAATCCTTTAAGACCTTTCAAGTAGAACATTTTCACCATATTATATTTAATCTTTAAAGTAAATAATTAAGGAATTTCATGCCATATTGAAGTAGGGCCTGTATACCATCTTCTCTGGTAAAATTCTTGAGAAAAGTTTAAAGGAAATTAAAATTCTGTGGCTTCTTGCAAGTTATGTATGCTTAGGCCCAAGCAATTTTTAAGGTTCTCCCATTGGAAATGATTGACCAAACAAACTTTCTTTGTAGCGGAATTTTGTGCGGATTCCCACAGCAAGCAAATTAAAGTTATCAACAAGTAATTTAAGGTTTTGTCTTGTCTTGGGGTTTTACTTTTTCTTATTTTAAGGCCAACCCAAGTCCTCCGGGATTTATTTGTTTTCTTATAATTAATGGCTGGAAAAGCTTAAGGTGCTTAATTCGTAGTCTATATGCAGAGTCTTTCTTTTAATGGCATAATATATACATATTTACAGGCAAGCTGTTCTCTGATATAAGCTTGTATTTCAGTTATATAAACAAACAAATAAATATGAAAGCTGTTCTCTGAAATTGCTCTGTTATATATTATTTTACCTGTTAAAATGTTTAATTACTTGGTTTAACTATAAAAAAGCAGATGGAAATCCAAACTAAATAGAAACGTTTATTAGAAAAATTCCAGAGAATTAAGCAGCCTTTATATAATTGCCAGAAGCTCACCCGGAAAACTAATCCTCCTCCACACTAAAGGGTCTCTTCCCTGTTGACCTGACCGCAACATCATCAAACTCAACTCAACTTTAACCCCCCAAGAGGAGGAGGGAGGAGAGGCAACCTTACCCACATTTAACTCGGACTCATCGGAGGCCGGACGCGTTAATGAATCTCTGCCAGCATTTGTGCTTGTTGCTGGTGCTGGTGCTGGTGATGGTGCTTCCAGGGCGGGAACCGGGGATTGCCTGGCCCCGATCCCAACCAGGTCCACGCCCACATTGCAATTGCAATTGCTTGGAACACTCTCGTCGCCCATGTGGGCAGCAGCACTGGGATTGGTGTGGGAACTGGGATTGGAACTGGGATTAGTGGACGACGATGGCGTCGCACTCGTTGCCGATCCAACCAAATTTGGTTGGCTGGATATTATCATTGTTTGTGCTTTAGTTTAGCTGTTTTCCTTTGCGTATTTACTCGGGGTTTTCGCGATATGTTTGTATGTTTTTATTTCTTTTCTCTTTTTTTGCGAATGAAGTCACACAAATTTGGGATTATTCCCGCGGCATTATGTTAATTGTCATTTATAGTTTGTTTTCCTTCCTGTTTTGGTTTGCTTTTGAGTTGCTGTTTATGGTTTTGGCTTGACTCTGCTTTTATCTGTCTGCGGCATTGATTCACACAATTAGTGCGTAATGATAAGCTGGCATACATACTAGAGAGAGCAGCAGATATGGCAGCATGTGTGCACACTTAATATAAATAGCCCCAGTTTGGGGCATAAACAAAAACTAGCCAGGGAAAGTACCCACAACCGTACCCGTACCCTCACCCGTACCCGTACCCGGCACAGAGATCCATGTACAATGTACCCAGAGTTTGCCTCGTATATAATAAGCCCGGTTGGCGGTGGGGACACTATATTTGCGCTTATTCAAATGGGTCGAGTGTATCTTATCGTTTGTGTTTTTTTTCGGAGGCTAGAGGCGGGAGCCGAGAGGAGAAGGGAAGGGAAGTTGGATGGGTACACGCGTTGTAATCTAAACGAAAATCGATAAATTGTTTAGATAAAAAGCGGCCAGCAGCCACTGGGCGCTGACGTCGCAGCAACAGGCTCCAGCTCCAGGATTTGATTTTGTGTTTTTCTGGATGTATGGCACATATACTTACTGCCTGGGCTCACACGACTGCACATAGTACGACAGACTCAAAGGCACAATTAACACGGAGAGTAACCAGAGTCATTAAATGTGGATTTCACGGCTAGTTGGCACTTCGAATCTGGCGGATTGATCGATTTTTGGCCAGGTAAAAGATACACACACAGAGAGAGGGATAGACTCTCGACCAATCCGGATTGGCCCGAAATGCAAATGGATATTTTTGTGGTGGAAATGGAGCAAGTGGAGCGCGAGCCGGACTGGGAAAAACGTCCGTTCTAATCCGGTATGAAGAACTGTTTGCCAGATGATAATTCTCGCACGGATTTTGAAACTGCCGCCAGTGGCAGAGCAGCGACGGCGACAGCGACAGCAGCGATGGGTGCGCTGCGAGCCAAACTGACAGTCTGTTGGGTATGTCCTCTATCCATGAGATACAATTGTATCTGCACGGGGAAAAATGAGATATTTTCTACAGAAATTGATGTTTAATAAATAAATTAAAGTGTGCTGGACTGTATGTATTTAATATACTTGAAAATAAGTGAAAGATACTTTACAAACTTTGTATCTAATTCATAATTTTAATAGATACTTGTATCTTTCATTAAATTTAATGCTTTCCCGTACTTCTAAAGCTACAAACTTCAAGAAAACATTGCAAAAACCCTAAGCAAGCTTTGATTATTTAGAAACTGGTTTTATTTTCTTGCCCTGTGGTGTATGTAAGGCGCTTAGCCGACAGGTGCAGTGGCATTAAAGCCCCTGTGAATGGCCACAGAAGACGGGGACGGGGCATTTTAATTTTAATACAAAGAGAGGATTAGGAGGGGCTAACCACCATTCCCACTGGCCGATCACTCTTGCCCCGTGGTGCTTTTCGGGGCCTTTTGCGCCTTTGGCCCGTTGTCATGGCGACCAATTAATTGTGATAAGATAATATCAGGCAAGTTTGCTCATAGTATTCAGATGTTTTAGGCTGTGTGCGTTGAGGGGGAGAGATACAGCTCTGGCTACACAGGTACAGAGATACAGATACAGGTGCTAGCGATGGCGCTGGCGCTGGTTCGGCCAGATGCAGATACAGCCGCAGATACGGATAGGCGATACAAGGGACCGACAGTGGGGGCAACGCGTGCACAATCTACATCTGAGTGTAGGGGAGAACGAGAACCGGGAGAGTCTCTATCTAACGCCAGGCGATCTTCTTGGCTCAGCGATACTCTCCTTTGATAGCCGCACACACTGGACACTAACCGCTACTACGGGTCTCTATATAAACATAACATATATATATATATATATATTGATAGGGAGTATCCAGCGGTAATCTAATCTCCCCCTCGACTGGGCCCCTTCACGTGGCTAAATACAGAAAGTAATTTGTGTAAGACCTCCTAAAATCGCACTATAATGCGGTCCTAGCAAAAAACCGGTAACTATTGTACGATCGTCGTCATCATCGCTCTTCTTTCCCACCCTTCCGAAGTTCAGTCGAAAGAAAAGTTGTTGTGGAAAACTGATAAGCTGGCAGGGGTTTGACGCGTGGGATTAGCCCGTCATCGTAATGGATCGGGTAAGCTAACGTAGTGAGTGTAGCGTCGTCGAGTGATCGTTTTTGGTTTGTTTTCCTTGGCTTTGATTGATGTTTTGGCGCCATTCCGTGGGCGTTTTCATTGTTTACCAGGGCAGCTCGTGAGAGCGACGATCGATCGATCGATCGATTTCGATCGGTTCGCGTTCAATTAAATATGGAAAAGAAGAGTGCTGAGCTCTCTGAGTAAACTTATTCGCAGCGCTCTCCTGCGGTTCTTAAACGGCTGCTGTGACGACAAAACAAAAACCAGATATACATATTGTCATGTGAATTTTTGCATATATTAATTGAGGATTTCAGTCCGATTTAAAAGGGGTTTCTTTGGGTTACAAATTGCCGGGAAAAAGGTGCAAGTATCTGCAAGAGTATCTGCATCCCAGCTTATGAGAGAGAGTTCTCTGAGCTAGACAATCCATGAGATACACAGAGATGTGAGCCACTCGTTACACTTGTTGTTGCTGCCACTGTGTGTGTGTGTGTGTGTTGGCACACTTAGTTGTGAAGTTTGTTTTGATTTTTAACACTTTTTCGATACTTGGAGACGGAGACACATTTATGGGGTATGGGGTGGGCAATATGTGTGCCTTTTTGTTGTATTTTAGAGCACGCTAAGCTGTTTTTTTCCACCTGAAGCCACCGCCGAAACCGAAGCTGAATGCAGCCCAGCAATATTATTCGCTTGTTCGATTTACAATTTTCGAGTACAACACGACGACGGCTACTACTCGGGGGGCTCTATGCGTTTTTAATTGCAATCGCTGTGGATCGACGACCGGTTGGCCCTGGGTTATATGTTATATGCGTTGAACAGCATGTATTTTATTTTGTTTTTGTTTTTGTTTTTTTTTTTATATGTGAGCAAGACACGACTTGGCCAAATCCAAATTTGCTGCATTAGGCCGCGTTAGCCAGCGACCAGTTTTGGTTGGTCTTTTGCAATTGCATTTTGGCTTTTATTTTGTGGGGCACTTTCGGGATGGCAAGCACTATATAGTATGGTTTATATATCACACGCGATGTTTACCCAAACAGTTCCTCTTGACTGCAGAGAGTTATGGCCAACTCCTGGGTCTTAACATTATTATTATTATTATTATTATTTGTATTTCTGCTTGTTCTGTGGATCCGTTTTAACAGTTTGTGGTTAGAGCGGCAACTGAACTCCATAAATGGGGAGCAGCTGTTGCCGCCAAGAGCTTTGCCGATAAGCTCACTTGCTCTCTCCCACTCTCTCTCTCTCTCTGTGGAGCTACACCCGATGGGGGGCTCTCTCTCTTTGGGGGATCCATTTGCCGAGAGCGATCAAGTTTCAACTGATGCTCACTCACTTGCTCTTGCTCCATTGAAACGCGACACAAGAGAGACGGAGAGAGCGAGGGCGAGGGCGAGGGCGGTGGAGAAGCTGTTAATTGGATGTCGGCACAAAACAGCTGCGCTTGAAGCTCAGACAAGCGCCAGCTGACTCTTCCGAGACGGGGATCGAATTACCTGAACACGAAGCTTACAGCTACCATAAGGAGACAGTGATACCCTGTGAAAAGTAGGTAGTAGGTAGTAGTGCTCTTTGCAGATAGATAGTCTTTATAAGGATAATGCACATCTATCGAGAGGTAGATATACAAAACTTTCATATATCGAATTCCTAATGATCATTTAATATCGGTATTATTCGAAAATTGTCAAATAAATACCTAAATATAGGTAAATCATAATAAGAATTAAGAGGTAACTTCAAGAAGCCAATGTTTATATACCCATGCAGTTTAAAACAAGTTTAAAATATTCACTTTCTTTGAATCAATATTTTTCGTTTTTTCAACAAATCAAAGTTTGATAATCCCATAACTTAGCCAAAAATACTTTAATTTTAATTCGGAAAGCAGTTCTTTGCTAGTTTTTATCAGGTTATAAAATCTGCATACTCAAATTGAAATATTAGGAAACTACAATTTTTGCCATTTTTTTTTAATTTTTAATAATGTAACCCCTAATAAAATTTGGAAAAAATCCAAAAATTTGTTTTTCTTTAAAATAAAGCTATATCGATTCGCCTTTTAATGCTGATCAAGAATATATATGCTTTATGGGGTAAATGAGAAATGACTGCTTCACAAGGTACAAGCTTCTGACTGAAATTTGAATACCCTGCAAGGGTATAAAAGTCGCACTAAAATGTTTTGTAAATGTTTCTTGCAAATACTGCAACGTTGAAAAGATTCAATAAATATCAACAATATATTCATTTAAATTTCAAATTCAAAGCAGTTGAAGCAACTTTGTCAGGCTTTTTCGTTCTGGTCAGCTGGTGGCATACACGGCGTATACTTAACGTGAAAACCCTTAAATTAAGTATACGCAGTGTATGCCTGCAAGGAGAAAGACTTAAAATAATCGCTTCATGACCGTAACTAAAATTAAAGAATACATTTTCTAATACAAAATTTCTATTCACCACCGCCTAATTGATATTTTTGAAATTCCCAATACGTTGAATCCTAAAGATTTTCCCTATCATTTTTCAAAACTATACAACTGCCAAAAACTATTATTCTGAACAAAAGGGTTTTTAATACAAAACAAAGATATGGCTCCGACACATTCCGTTATTTCAAATCTAAGCTGGAAGATCATAGACCTGAGCTTAAGAAACCAGAAACCAAGTTACCTTATCAATCTAATTGACTTTTTATCACACAAAACTTATGGCAGCCACTTGAATTGATTGGTTCCGAATCACGAGCATCATAAATCTTCCGTTAAATCAGAAGAAAAGGAAATGTGCAACCTATTCTCAGTTTCTCATTAATAAGTACCTTACAAGTGTGCCTATCAACGAGCAAAGCGGAAGCTCTTGAAGGTGGAGTAGCCTCACTTCAGATTAGAGAAAGAATCGTAAGAACCATATATACAGCTATTGTTAGGCAATATTTACCATGGAAGAAAGAGTCATCAATAAGGAAATTGAACTAAGAGTCGAGGTAACCCTTAAAATCAAGGGTATCAAGGGAATAATAATACGAGGTTTGATATTATGATGAAACACTGGGAAATCTATCAGAGTGATACGGTAATTTAAAGGACTTATTACATTTTGATGGTCTTTTCAGTCATATATATATATACCCTTTTATCTTTAATTTGTGAAATTGTTGAAAAAAACCCTGTAAAAAAAGCCTCTTAAAAAAGTTGATATAAAAATATAGTAAATCAATCAAGTTATTCCATTTTGGCTATTTTGTTATATCAATCGTTAACTTCTTTGCATTTCCTCTCAAAAAATCCATACATATTTCCCTTTCATATTTCCATTTCCATAGAAAAGGCCTTTGCACAAAACTTTTACCACTTTCCCTGGAACTATATAAGCCTTCGTAATAAGCGTTTTTCAGTGCATTCAAAGGAAATCGAACACTCCCCCCTATTAATTTGTCCTTCTGGGCAGCTCAATAAATATGGTATGTAGGGTATGCCTGAGGGTAGGGGAATCTCGGGGTTACAAGTACTTACTCCCAGTGGCCCGTCGCACCACGCTGTGTGTGAAGTTGCCCAGGGCAGCCACCGTCACGATGGAGTCCTTTTTGCCAGTGCTCAGCTGGGGGAAGGGAGAGAGAGACGGGAGTTAGATGAGAGCTGGCTTAAAGGTGCCGCCGCTGGGTATTCGGTTACCTTCTCGTAGTCGGCCTCGCTCTTGGTTTGGAGCGGATTGAGGAGCACCTGGCCGCACAGGTTGTCGCCGGTGCCGCTGCCCGCAGTGCTGCCATTGCCATCGTTGGGCACCTGCAAGGTCACACCGCCGCAGCTGCAGCGGCGCAGGCGACTGCGTCGCAACTTGATGCAGAACAAACGACTGCCATCCTTTTCAGTGGCGTCCAATGGGAGGGATCCCTGGCCACCGGGGGCTCCACCGCCCCCAGCACTCGGGGCGGGCAGTGTGCTTGGCGAGCAGCCCATATCGAAGTCCTGCTTCTGATCCTGGACTGGCTCGACCCCTTGACTCCGACTCTGACTCTGACTCGGTCTGTGTGCCCTTTGTGGCTAATTCCTGTGCGGTTGCTATGCTAAATTGCTCTCGGTTGCCTTGTGATTGGTGATTATTTGGTGCTAGTCTCGGTTTTGACTGTGACTTTGGTCTACGGATTCTTGGGATTCCCTGGATCCTTCGGCTTACGCTCGCTCCTCCACCGTAGCGCCTGGCCTGGGCAGCTCTGCTCTGCTCTGGTTCGATGGTTTCGATTCTGGACGATGTCGTTGTGGCTGGCGATAACATAATTGAAACATTTTTGGGCTGCGGTTTTGCTGATTGATTGACTGATGTTGGTGCCAGTTAGAGCTACTGGTCACATGATCCGCATAAACTGCAAAGGAAGAAAATTGGGCGAAAAATGAAATAGAGATGTTGGAAAATCAAAGGAATTTGAGTTACTCGAATGGCATAAATTTAAAAAAGATATTCAGCTATAAATTCAGTCAAAAGTAAGCTTATATTCCATAAAATAAACACTCACAATAGTCTCTTCTATTAAGTGAGATTTTCCACAACAAAATCTGCAATCTCTATTTAATTTCACTAAGCCCTTAAGCCTTTAATAACCTGCCCAATTAAACAATAATAACCCAAGGCTGTTTAAATAAATATCATTAAAACAAAAGACCAACTCTTCTATTCTATTCCATAGCCAGGCAGTGACTGACCTACATTAAGGCCTGACTGTGCCTTTGGACTCTTGTTTTTCGGATTATTCCCAGCTTAATTAGTTAAACTAGTTTAATTGACATTGATAAGGCCGAATGATAAATGACGAGTTACAGTGCATTACGGGTATATTAAGTAGCGGAGTCGAGACCCCCATTCATCGCATTTCATTGAAACTCTCATCGAATATGGACAGAGCACCCGCACAGCACAAAAAAAAAGAAACTCTTGGCTTGGCAATTGTTATAAATTCATATAAAGCCCAAATATTGGCAATGATTATTGGGCCAAGGCGAGGAGACGAGGCCCTTGGACGTGACCAGCTGGCTGCATATGAATAATGCCCCGTCAGAGTTATGTTTGCGATTTGCTTTCGCCACCAACTTGGGCTCCTGTCTGCCATACTAAGTTCGAGTTGAAGTTTAGGGTTCCCAGAAGAAAAGTTGAACGAAACTTGATAGTCCAAGCCCTCGGTGGCACGTATCAAACAATTGACTTGTGCGGATTTGTGGGTGTCATATATAATACAGCTCCCCGGTATCTGAGACGGCGATGTCGATGTCGATGTCGTTGGTGTCGGTGTCATTGGTGTCGCCCTGTTGTTCTCATTCCGGCTGTCATTCTGGCTTTATCTTGGGGCAGGCAAATAGAAAAAGAAAACCCTCTGTCGCTCGCTCGCTCGTGTCTTGCTAACCAATTTAAATATTTAGATAAAACTTGAACGAAAGCGAAAGAGGCAAGTCAACTGATATGGAGCGGGAGCTGAAGCCAACTGAATACTTCAGATTAGTCACCGAAAGTCGAACCCATTTCAACTGGTTTTTCCATCTCTATGTCCTGGCCCTATGCCCTATCCTGCTCCCTTAAGTCTGCGAGTGAAATGTCTTCTGTCTGGTTTTTAGGACAGGGGGGAAAACAATTTGAAGGGCGCTCTCCTTGCAGGATGAGATAGTCCTTATCCCCGGCGACGTTGATTGACTTGCTAAAGGGAAAGGCTGTCTTTCATCTGCATTCGCACATAAACACATCGAGCATCCAGCATCCAGCATTCAGCATTCAGCATCGAGCATCCACATCCATAAGGACACTTGTTGTCGTCCCTCTGTCTGAATTCGTTTGCATTGTTTGGGCCAAAAACAAAAGGCGTCACAACAGAAGACGCCAACAGGAAGACAGGCAGAAAGGCAAAAACAGCAACATAAGCACACTTGGAAAAATATTTAATATTACTACGAATTTTTAGAATCATTGTGATGCAAAAGAATTCTTAAGGACTTTATTTAAATTTTAATAGATTTTTTACAAGATTTGTTGTATTTTATCCTTTTTCTTATGTGAACAATATCTAGGCTTTGTTAGGACTTAAGAAATGGTTAGAACGAAGCATATATTTTTACTTTTTCAATAATAATTGTATATTATATATTATAATTTCAGTCAGAAGCTTGTAAGTTGTGAAGGAGTCATTTCCGACCCCATAAATCCTGTATATTATTGATCAGAATCGATAGCCGAGTCTATATAGCTATATTTCAAAGAAAAGCAATTTTTTCAATTTTTTTTCTATTTAAAAAAAAATGATAAGGGGTTATATCGTTAAAATTGTCAAAAAATTTAAACTTTTAAATTTTTAATTAAGTATGCAGTTTTATTAACCTAAAAGCAAAGAAATGCTTTCCGATTTAAAATTAATGCATTTTTGGCTTAGTTTTGAGTTTTTAAATGTTGATTTAAATAAAAATTGGCATATAAAATATCGATTCAAAGAAAGCGAATATTTTAAGCTTTGTTATGATCAATTTTGATTGATCCTGTTATTCAATTGAAAACTTCAAGGGTATATAAGCGTTCGATTCTCGAAGTTAGTTTATTTTCTAGTAAATACTTAAGGTTTAAAAAATGTGATTTCTTGATCTCTTTCAGATATAATTTTTTGCTTAACATTTTCATATTTTTCCATTGTGCACAATCAGAATCAGCTTGAAGCAGATCATCATCCCCAGCATCCATAAAGAAACACAATGGAGATGAGACGAGTGAGAATCAGTTCCCGTTCACACACACATCATTCTATGGTGTGTTTGTTGATTTAAACAAATTATTTTTAGCCCGACCATATTAAAATGAACAAGTAATGGCTTTCGCTGTTCACTCAGCCTCATTTAAGTTTTCAAATAAATAACGAACGCTGTGTAGACGTAACATAATTTGTTTACGACCTCCGCCCGGAGGGGGTGTTCGAGGCAATTGCAATTGCTCAGCCGCCCCGTTGCCATGGCCAAAAGCATATATATAGCCGAGTTTCTAGGGTTCCTGAGGTCCCAAAGTTCCAGGAAGCTGCTGCTCTGCAGCGCCTCTTGGTATGCAACCAAAGGCAGCAGGCCAGGCTCAAGCACCGAGCTCCGAGTGCCAAGGAGTGCCAAATTCTATTAGCGTTGCCCCCAACGTCAACGTCAACTCATTAGATGCAGCCAGTCACGGATGTTGGCCCAAAGCTATTAGTATGCAGGTGCTTGTGGGTATTTGTATAATAGCATCATCAGCAGGATGCCATGCCAGCGTTTTGGCCCCTAATAGAATTCCTACCAATATGTACCGTTCACGAGGCACGAGGCACGAGGCAAGTGTGTGTATTTGGCAGCCGGAGATGGAGATGAACCGCTCCATATAGGCAAGCTGGCCGAGGCCAAAAAAACAAAATAAAAAAAGATGAACATGGAACATGGACATGGAATTTCGGCGGAGCGCATTCAAGCCATTTTGTATCTAATAGTTTTTGTATCTCTTTTTTTGCAAGCTGATGCCTTGCAGCTGTTTCTGTTTACTGCTTACGGATTGGAATCCGATCGGTAGATCGATCGATCGATCGATCGTCTATATACAACACTTTGTCATCTAGGTGCTTTGGCATGCCAGACACTTGATTTGATCAGTCTACAGAGATCCATTACAAATGGCTAATTGGGTTTGAAGTTCATTAAATGAGAAGTTACAACAGCTTTTCATTTGAAACTTAAATATAAATAATGTATCCCAAGAAAATAAATCAGTTCTTGGAGTTATCTTTATTATATATGAATACTATGTGATAAACTTTATGATACTTTTATTAGCTTTATCAGAGCTTCCCAATTCGTATTTTAAAATAAACTTTATTTGCTATAATAAAATATATATGAAATATCGATAAAGTATAAAATTCTGCAAACAATACAATTATATTTCACTTCCATAAAGGGCAACCCTGGAGTCCACCGAATATAGAACTTAATGGGCCATTATTTGATATTTATAATTATTTCTCAGTGTCCTCCAAGTAGGGACAACCTTCACGGTGGTCTTGCCAAAGAATATTTCATTAACAGAACGTGCGTCATTATTATTAGTCTCTAAAATATACATATAGTTTTAGCATCCTCGATCCGGACTAAAAAGAACCTTGAGGCTTCACAATGGAACTAATCGCTTACAGGCGGCGGAAGGTTGGACCCCGACTAATTAATATCGGACATGGGCATATATATATTCTATATAAATAAGCTGCTTACAATATCTATAGGGGCTGGCTAGTTTTCCGGTAGTTTCAAAGAGTTTGCCAGGCAATTTGCATTTCAAATGGTTTTGTCCCCCCGCGATCTCAAGTGAGATATATAACAAAATGGCTGAGCACGGACGGCTGATTGCCCCCCAAAGTGGTCATCAAATCGTATAGAGTTCGAGGAAGCACTCCTCTGGGTGGATTTTGGCTTGAATGTTACTGTTGCTATTGCTATTGCCAGCAGGTTGCATAACCGTAGTCATAATAGACATTTCGAGGGTACCTCCTCCTCCTCCGCCTTCGCCGTCGTCAGATTGCCAGTTGAAATTCCCAATCAGTATGCACGCGAGCGGCTCGGATTTATTTGCTGTTAACAATAGCAGCCACCTACAGCTGCAACAACAATCCAGCAATCCAACAATCCATTTAATAAACAGTTAAAATCGGGAATTAATTAAGTCAGCCAACTGATTGGGCGACAGCCTATCGCACAGATAGTGGCAACGAAAAGAAAAATATTGCTCGGTGTGTGTGTACACAGTGCCGAGGCGGGCATTAGATAATCGACGAAATGGGTCAGTCCACGAGGGATATAGCCAAAAAAAAACCATAAAACCAAAAATCAAAATAATAAATAAAATACAAGTACATACAGAAACTTGGCAGCAGCAGAAATGCAAAATGCGAAACACGGAGCACGAAGCACGATTCACGAAATGCAAAATGCAAAATGCGAACGCAATTTGCAAAACTTATTGTTGCTTGTTTATAAGTACGGAATGATATTTTTCACATTGTTTATGGCAAGTATGGGCATCATGGCTCACCTGTGCCCTAAACCCCCTCGCTTCCACCTGGTGGCAACATTTTAAGCAATTTTTATGTGCCTCTGTCGCGCCTATAAGAAGTCAGGTGAGTTAGAAGGAGACAGCCGGGGATTAAATTAAAAACTGCAAATTGTTTTTTTTTTTTAGCGACGCCAGTTGCATGAAAATTTTCAATTTTATTTTGTCTCGTTTTTTTCTTCACTTTTTATTTCATTTCATTTAATTTATGATCTTTTGGAGGGCACTCGCTTGAAAACTGAGCAGAGAGACCAGAGACGTTGACACTTCCAAGGTGGC